ATCACAATTGATTATTTTAATCTTGAAAATGTTCATTTTAAACCAACTTTTTTCCTTTCTGCCCAAGTCAAGAGTTGAATTGATTTTGGGTTTGCCTTTTCAATCATTTCCATTCATTAGATTTGTCATTTACTCTGGTTAAACTCATGAATATCGTAATCTTATTCAGATGAAACATTACCTTTCAGAGTTTCTTGGTTTGTTTCAGTAAATCAATGGTAATGAGAAGCCTGAAGCTAGTTGAGATAAACTCATCTGGTCCAATGAATTGGTTAAACTCTTAACACTGAATTTCAATGCTTTTCGTTGCCTAATATTGCACAGATTTTTTGGGTTAAATTTCCATCGACTATTCATTTTGGTTGAACATTTGAACGAAATCGATTTTTGATGTTTTCTTGGCTAAACCAGATTTTTCAAATCTTTTCATTCCCTTTTCACAGAAAAGAGCATTTAGTTTTGGAAATAATTTTATTTGTATTTCTGTCAGTTGAACATGAATTTACAGTCGAGGCTAAAAATGAATCGATGAAATTGTTGACTTAAAAGAGTGAAAAGTGTAAAATTTTTGTTTGACTTTTCATTAAAATTATTACGAAAAAAGAGATTTTTCAATTAACTTTTGGTGAACATTTTGAGCTAATGATGATGACAGTGTTTAGCTGAAAAGAATGACTTTGATATGTAAATGATGATCATGAAAAGAGTTGAGAAACTTTTTGAAAAACTTTTTCCTTCTTTTTTTTCGTGTTCCTTTTACCTCTCTATTCAAGTGATATAATCAAATCAGTTGATTGTTTACCATTGAAAAATTCAATTTAACCCAATTATCTTTAGAAATGGTATTCCAATGAGCATTTGATTGAAAATAATGTAATGACTGAATGGAAAATGATGGAAACTGAAAAAAGGAAGAAAAAGTAAAATCTTGTATTAAACATTACAGAACAATGATGATGATAATCATTCAATTCATTTTGTATCCATTAATTCATCTTATTGTAGAAAGAACAAGATGAAAGGAAAGAGAAAAGAAATTCTGAAAAAGAGAAGAAAAAAAAGTTCAGAAAATCCAATGTAATGTATTTACGAACAAGCAAGTTAATTTACCTGATAAAGAATATTGAATATTCTCATGGGAACTCAAAAATTCCAGATTATTATCTTGATAAAGTATAGCTTATTCAATGTTATCATTTTGTTTTTTCTTCTTTTTCCTTTCATCTTCAATCTTTATACAGTTCTTAACATTATTTTTCATCTCAACTCAGAATTTTTTCTCTTCTCTCTCTCTCGAATTCCAAGTTAATCTGAACATGAAAGATGGAATTGAACAGAAGAGAGTCAAAAAACAAAAAGATTGACGACCTTTTCCAGTTTGATAAGGAAACCTCGTAAGGAAAAGACACAAAAAAAACATGATGATCGCATTGGTACATGGTGTTTATATGAAAAGTTGGAGTTTCCATGAACTTGTATTTGTCAATTTTTTCGCTGCATTTTCACCATTCCATTGTTGAACCTTTTTCCTCACCATTGCCATTCCTTTTTGCTCTCCTTTTTATGCTCTATTAATCCATCCATTGATGTACACATATAGCTTTCACTCCCTGAGTTAGTCACTTTTCTGTGCAATTCTGAAACAATCGAACTACACCCAATCTGATCATAATTTATCTTCCATTCTATCGATTTATTCCTTGTCTCTTCATTCCTCACTCAATATTATCAAGGTTATCATTCCCTTTCCTTCCCTGTCCGCATATTATTAGTTTTATTATTATCATATTATTTCGGGAGAAGATAAGTTTTGATAGGAAGAGAAGAAAAAATGATAATGATGATGATGATAATGATGAAGGTTCAAAATGAAGGGAATGACAGATTCTTCACTGGCTATCATTTAAATAAAGGTTGACTTTGTACACCATCAGGCAACTGATACATTTATTTATATCATTATTCACCGAGAATCTGAACGGAAAATTATTTATCTTTTGCCTTCCCTTTCCATCTTTACATTTATTTAATATTAATTAATGCATCACTTTTTTTTATCCACAATTGTTATCTTCACATTATCGGCATCTTTCACCATTAACATTATCATCATCACGGTATTTTGCTTGCAAGTCAAAATTATCTTTTAATGTCTTTTTTTTCTCTCTTCTTCCAACATTCCAACATGAGTTGCTCAAGGTTTCATCATGTATCAAATATTCTAATGATTATTTTATAGTAATGCAGATAAATATTAACAATAACAGTAAATTGAGTTTGACTAGTCCATGAGTATCAGAGTAATGTGAGTAACTTGCAATTATTTTTTCATTTCAATGTTGGCTGAAAATTTCATATTCACTCGATGCTTTATTTATGTTCACAGTAAAATGTATAATTTTTTTGCATTAAAATGTTATTTGAATCGAGTTGCTTACTCAATCAATTGGGATCAAGTTGTCGTTGAGTTCAATAAAGATGCAATAACAATGCAAAATAACCCAATCGTGATTACCTTTTTTTTGATAAAAAAATCACTCTCGAGTTGGAGTTTAGATGAACGTTTGATAAACTGTCCAAGTGTTCAATTGGAGTTGTGACTTTATCTCAAGTTGATTGCTTGCAGGAATGTCAAATGTCACTTTAACCAGTCTTTGGTCTTCTCCATGTTATCTGTCCAGTGAAATTTCAATCAATGGATGAGCAAAATGTTGCACCAAATTTCGCTTTTTTGATCTTTCTTAAGCTTACCAGTAAAGCCTTTTCAAAGTTTACTCAACCTCAAATTTTAAATTCATGTGATTCTCCAAAACGATTTGCTGAATTTTCAAGTAGATAAATATTCTCAATGAAAATTTCCAATTTTATACAAAATACACAGCTGAGTTAACAATCGATAAATTGAGAAACAGCACTTTTCTGAAAATAGCTTTACACTATTCGAGCAAAGTTATTCAACATTCGCTCTCGTTTAATAGATCACTTTCAACTCATTATCATTAACTGATTTCACGAGTTTCTTGATATTCGAAAAGAAAAGAGAAGTTAAAAATCGAAAAATTTAAATGAAATTTGAGCACCCAAAGGTTAACCCAATTAACCAAAAAAGCTTTTCCCCAAAGTCAATAATTTAAAACACGGATTCTGCACTTTCCTCACTCTGTTTAAACGTGAATTTCTCAGTAATCTGAATTCTGATTAACCTCTGACTATTTTCGGACATGAAGTTCAAGCATGAATTTCAGGATTCCTAAAAATTTCGCTTGGAATCCTTTTAGTTTGATCAAAATTTCACACAAAATTTGATATCAATATTGTATCTATCAACCTGCCATCTATCGGTAAACCTGTTAACTATTAAAATGAACCAGAAATTTTTGCTCTCAATATTTGAAGTTGATTAGTGAATTGAAGAAACGTTTGTATTGAAACAAATAAAGTTTAAACACTTTTCAATGTTTTTTCATTTTATAATAATTCTTGATGGTCAAAGATTATTACATTTATTGAAAGGCAATTTTTGATTTGATTTGGGTGAAACATTGAAATGAAAATGAGAAACACAAAACGCTGAAATTGTTTATTCATTTATTTTCATCTAAACTCTCATCTATTTATCGTGCATTAATATTATTTTATCTGGGTGAATAAACTGAACCTAAATATAAACAATGGTTGATTCTCAGGAGAAATTTAAATTTCACAGTTTCACTACTTATTTATTCATTTGTTTTCATCTTTTTGTTTTGTTCAGGTTTGTTCCCTTTCTTTACCTTGTTACCAAGCGTTAAAGTAGCGCAAGTTATCTTCAATATTATGGTAATTTGATGTGATAAAGGTAATATTGTTAGCTAGTGAATACAAGTAACAGCAAAAAACACAATTTCATTCACAATCAAGTATAAATTTAATATCATTTTATAATATTAAACTTGTCAACTTGCGTCCTTAACAGTATTTATAAGCTACATCTGTACAACATTGAAAGGTAACAAAAAAAAGACGAAGGTGCAAAATTGAAATTGTCAGGAAAATACAAAATTTTGATCAATTATGCTGTTGCTATGATTATCATTATGATTATTAATGGTGAAAGATGAAGTATTATTATGTTGAATAATGATAATGGTGAAGATTTAAGGAAAAGTAAAGGGTAAATAAGTATTAAAGTGAAGTATAATTTGAAATGATTAGTTGATAATTTATGTTCCTGGGAGTGAGTAATGAAAAATAACATTGTATAAGTATCAATTGATGATTTTGGTGTCCATGAAACAAGTTTGATTTGCTCAAGAACCAGAATTCATTCTGATTTTTTCTCCTTTTCTTATCCTTCTTTCAATGTTCACTTTAATCGCAAGGGAGAAACGATGAAACAATTTTTCTTTCTTTTAAAGGTTAAAAGAAAGAAAAGGCGAGATGAAAATTGTGATGATGAGGAAGAGGAGGAGGATGAAGATCAAGAGAAATCCATTAAATGAGAGACTCAATGGAGTGGTTTGAAGTTGCATGAAAATATTTGTATTCAGTTTGTATTCAAGAGATGAGTTTCATGGAGATGATTACGATGATGCCAGTAAATAGATTGGGAATGAAAATTTTACTCCAAAAAAAAAGAAAAGATTATTTAGTCTAAAGGAAAAGAGGCCGTAATTTAAGCACTTTTTGATGGGACGTGAGTGACTTTGTTGGGTTAAAAGATGCATGACTAACGGCCTGTTCACAGAAAAGGTAAACAACAAGAAAATCGTTAAGATTGGAGGAAAATTTAACTCCAACAATTTGCTGAAAGTGTAAATTGCTTTACATTTTACAAAAGACTAAACTTAACTAGACTTGACTTTGGGTTAAGTTGAAGTTCATTTGTTGATTTGACTTTGATTTTGACTGGAAATATTTGAAAGTTCAATTTAATTTTTCCAATTTTTGTAAACTCAACTGTAGCTAGGGCTCAGGATTTGCCCACCTTGTATAGTAAACAGTGAGATTGAAGTTTTCTTATAAGGTTTTATTAAATTGAATGTGTTACATTGACTTTAATGATTTGTTGGTTATTTCAATTGGTTTTTAACAATTGCTTTGGGATTGGAAATGCATTCAAGTATACAAATTTTATGCAGTCAAGTTTGGAGTAATTTTTACATTTTCAAGTTCCATCAATTGTTGAAACGAGTTTCAATGAAACATTTTGTCAATTTGTCTCAAGTCCAGTCATGAAGTATATTTCAAAACACTTGGCAAATCGAGTATTATTCAAGCGAACATTGGATTTGTAAGTTGAAGTTGTAAGGTTGTGTACTTTTTGGAGATCAATTTGTTTCATGGATTTTCAATCGTTTCATAGGAATTCCAGGATAAAATTGGAATTACTTCCGATAAATTCCGGCCAAATATTTCTGCCAAATAGACTCGATAGGAGATGCAAACGATTCCATAGAGGATAACAGTGGTTCCAAGTACATGAAATGATCCAGTTGTACCAATGGAAGGTAAAACGATGCTTGAAACGATTGGACCAATAATGTAAGCAAGGCAAACCGCTATTTGAGAAAAGGTGTAAATCATTGAGTAATTGGCCGAGTATCTTTCATCAACTATTGATGCTAGTTGAGTGGACATGGCAGCATCTGTAATACCTGGGATGGAAAAAGGAAAGAAGTGAAAAAATGGAAAAAATAAAGGTTTAAATGAATGACAATATTAACAATTCAATTACTGTAATACAATATAAAGTAATGGAAAATTGCTTACCAATAGATAATCCTGATGCAAATTGAGGTATTATGAGTTGATAAAAATGGGTTGTTAATGGGATCTATGGAAGTAGAAGAAAATCATTTATTACAATAAATTGTACAACAAATCTGGTTAATGTATTGGCTAGTGAATCTTGTTAATTCAAATGATGAAATTGAAAAGGAGGGAAAAACTCACCAAAATTGTAGCAAATCCTGCCAAAAAGAGGCTTATAATTGTTATAACCCACCTAATACAGACAAAAAAAACAGTAAATAATGTTTATTGTTCAAGTGAACGCAAGAAGGTTGATTTAAGGTGAAAAGGTGGAAAGTTGAAGGGAAAGAAGCTTTCTATAAGAAGTAAATTCCGAGCAATAATACTCACTTATCAACTGAATGCTTATCAAACCCAAGAATATGAGCTCCAATAATGTATCCAAAGGCATCAGGTAGGAAAGCAATTCCTGGTAAAGGAGAGAAAATGTTGATTAAAATTTGAGAATTCGTTTTCTCTCTCTTCTTGTTTTCATCATTTCTACCTGAATGTTAAATTTGATAGCTATTTTATACACTAACTGACTTACCTAATTGCCATTCTGGAGCATTAAGAGAGTCTATCAAATAAATTGGTAAAATGGGTTCACAAACTGCAGTTATGCTGGTCGTAAAAAATATTGAACCTGAATTGGGAGAAAAGAAGAGAAAAAAAATAAGTCATCGAAAGTGGAATAATGAATAGTTGTAATTTTTAATTAATAGCAAAGTACAACCATGATACTCACCAATGGCCAGCATAATATCAAGATCCTTGACCATTCCAACAAAATGGAAGCTTTCAATTTTCAAATGAGATTCCTTTTCATTTGGCATAAATGTTAGTTGAAATCCTGTCTCGCCATTGATTTTGTCACCCAAATTGAAGGTAAAAAATGAAACAAGATTAACAGAGTTGACTTTTTGGTACAAATTTAAATGAAATTACCGATAATCAAGGTGAAGAGAAATGCAATTAAAAGAAAAGGTAATTGCTTTCCGCAAAAGTCATAAGCAAAACCACCAAAAGGATAACCAACTGCAAAATAAAAGGAATAAAACAATAAACTTAATTAGTGCAAATATAAGCATATTAATTACAAATTATACAAGCATCTTTCTCATGAACCATTTAATGTTGATTACAATAATGACTATTGTGCAGGAATATTTAACTGAATCAGGAAGACTTGAAAAACTGATGAACGCAAATATCAATGTAAACTGAACCTGAAAACCTGAAAACCCAAGTAATGTAATAACCAGAAAAAAAACAGTGAAGGCAAATGCAAAAACGGTAAAGATCATCAACTTTAATATAAACTCACAGGGTAATATAATAAGCTAAAATGGATTCATAATCATGAAATAGTTAATTCATTTTCTTGGCTTTCTTTTCCCCTTCAACTCTATTATTATCAATAATCTGTTTTAATCAACAAATTTATTCAATTAAATGGTGCAACAATTTAATCGCTCAATGATTTATAGCATTAGACTTTTCTTCCTCCTTTTCTCAACATCAATCATCACCATTTAATTGAATTTGGATCAACTATTAAACTGTTAATCTAGATGAATGGGTTAATTGATTAAAGGTTATAAAATAATTGTCAAATGGCTAATACTTTGATTAAGCAAATTTAAAATTGAAAATTGTCTTTTCTTTACAATTTAAAGCGTCTTAAAGTTAAAGTGGCTTTGATTGGCTTACCTTCAAACTCTCTATCCAACTATTAATAATACCATTCTGATATTAATGTGATCATGTATTATGTATAATAGCTCAATGTTATTTGATTATCTGATATCAAGCAATTCATCAACACTCAGTTTGGTTGATGGTGAAAAATGCTATTGTTGATGAGCAAAAATTAATTAAAAACTGGCTCATTTTAATCAATTTACTTGCCAAGTTGAATGGTATTAGGATAAAGTGAGAAAAGTTAATAAACTTGATCGCAATATAATCTGAGTAAATTTTGAAGGTGAATAAAAAATCGCACAATGAGCTAAGATGAAGGAAAAGAGGTAAAAATAGTTCAATACATTTCAAAGGCTAACCTGGTAATTACAAGATTAATCCTTCACTTATTCAGTTTAATGGTTAATCACTTGAAAATTTTCAACTTATGTAAATATGTGTGAGTTAATAAATGATTTTAAGCCTTGGGAGGAAGATGGATCAAGATGGGGAAAAGTATCACATTTGGCTCAAGACTTGACTGTGATCGAGCAAATGAGTTGACCTATTGATGGCAGAGAGAAAAGCAAATTTTTCACACTCCATGATAAATGGAGTGAAGTATTATTTGAAAGGAGAAAAAAGGAATTGAATAAGATAGGAAATGCATGGACTGATGAGGATGAAGAAAGATGGTCAAGATGAATCAAAGAGATGATCAGTTGATTTAAGATGGTCAAAGGTATAGAAGAGAAAAGAGTATTTCGTGTTTAAAGAATTAGAAAGGCAATGTTCAAATTGAGAGGAAAAAAAACGTTGGACCATTTTTCAATGATGATGGTCAAATAGGTTGACCCAATGGCAATTCATCCATTTCTTTATTTCTTTCATCCTTTTCAGCTTTTATTCAATGGCCATCATCATCATCATCTGCATCATCATCATCTGCATCATTATCATCTTGTCGAGTCTTTTTCTTTTTTATATATATATATATCTTCTTCCTTTTGCTAACAACCAATCTTCCCTTCAAGGCATTTCTGATTCTATTCACCGAACTCACCAAAACTCAATAGAAACTTATTTTCATCTAATAGACTTTATCATGGAAAAAGCAGAGCGCAATGAAAAAAAAGTAGAGAGTAAAGTAGATGGGAAAAAATAACATGTATTAGATATGAGAGTAATGATAACATAACGAGGGAAAAGGCTGGTTGAGAAAAGAGTTTCCTGGTTTAATTGGAAATTCAACTCAATTCTGGGTACAGGGTTTTACTCTGAATTTTGTGTGAACACAGCAACAACAACAAAAAACTCAAATTCTAGATCAAGTGCAACTAGATGATGATACAAAAGGCAACTCGATATACTCTATTTATCCCTACTTTTCAGTTCACTTTTCAACCTTTTTTTTCCTGTCTTTTACCAGTTTAATCCAAAACTTTTACATCATTCCCATCATCTTCACTTATTACTTTTATTTCACATTTGCTTGTTACCTTTTCCTTATCATCAACATCATCCTAATCTTTAACCCACCTTAATAATCATCATTTTTACCTATTTTTTTCTTCTTCTATTCCTTTCTTCACTCAGCTTTTTATTCGCCTTCTACTTAACCTGAGACTTTCTATTTGATTTGATTTATCGGATAAAAAAAAGGAAAAGGGAGAAACTCATTTAGCAGGGTTGGCAAGATGAATTTTCAGTTAACAAATGGATCAAGGTTTTGGATGATGAATTTGTCTTGAAAGGTAAAACTAACCCAAAACTCCAGCAGCGATTCCTCCAAGAGATATTCCCATAATTTGACATCGAGCTTTTTCATCTTGAAATAAATTAGCAATTGTAGCCATACCTGGAATTAAGAGACAAAAACAGAGTGACAATTAATTTTATTGCTAAATAATTCAAGAGTTTAAATTACTTAATTAGCTTAGGATAACCTTAATGGTAAGTAAACATTCAAATCTTACGAGTTATTATGATTAGTATTTTCATTGAACAATAGAGGTTGAATTATTTTTCTAATGAGATAATGGGATTACCATGAATCATTGATTTTCAATCAAATTTATCGTCACAGACATTTGAATAAATTTCAATTGAAATGTTTCTTTTCATGGTTAGTTGATTGGCTTCCTTAATAAACTGATTTGCCTTTCATTTATTGAAAGTATCATTTTGTATTGAATCAATTTATCAATAAGTCATGTAAGAGCTTATTAAACAAATCAACAGTTGTAGGTGACTCTTGCTTTAATTATTGATGATTTAATTTGAAAGGGATTTGTCTAATTAATTGATAATAGTGTTTAAGATGATTGTCATTGAACAGGTTAATTAATTTGTTGCCATTACTAACCAAGATTGACATTAAAAAATATAAAGTCAACCTTAAAGACAATATCGCCATCTATGAGGGTTGAAAGGTTTTATCCTGCATTGGATTGAAAATAATTGATAATTGTAATTTAAAAGCTATATCATCTGTGGTTGATCTTATTGTTGATTATATCGATTGATTGAATCTATTGTTGTTTATCAATGACTCAACTCTAGAAATTAGAGGTTGACAGCTTTTCTTTGTCATTTGGCATTTGAAATTGACCATAAAATTGATAACTGAGTTGGTGTTAATTACCTGAAATTGATATGATTGATGATCCAACTCCATGGATGCATCTTGCCAGAAACATGGTTTTAATTCCTTGTGAAAAGGCATAAGCTTAGATAAATGAGAGCAAAAGGTTTAAATATTGGACCTTATTTGATCGAGAAATAGCAACATACTCAATGAGGAACAAAGTAGGACCATTAAAGCTATAGTTTGTGTACAATTGTGTCCATAACTGCAATGAAAATTGAAAAGAATAATTTTAGTGCAAATAAGAATATAAATGATTGAAAATGTGCATGGGAAATCTATTGAATAGTGGATTGATTAAAAGCAGAGATGTTGCATTGAATTGAAATGTTGACGGATTATAAAGGGACAAACCTTTGTATGAGTTTCATGGAAACGGGATTGAAAAGAAGCTGGAAAACAGCTTTAGATGCAAAAAGCGTTCCAACTAATCTCTCTTCCTGATTATCATCCATTTTATCTTCTCCTTGGATGTTTGTTTTTGGTGCATTGGAAAGTTGATGATTATGGAAATGATGATGATAATAATGAGGATGATAGTGACGATGAGAATTGTGAGTTCCATAACCAATGTGAGAATCTTTTTCTTTAGGATTTCCTGCATCACCAAATTTGTCTTTTAACATCAACTCGACAATCCTTGATCGTCTAACAGGTATAGACTTCCAATCAATTGGCTCATTCTCATGGGGATTCATTACCTTTTTACTCCCAGTCCAATCAGTTTGACCTTCCATTAAGGTATTAAGAGACTTATTTGCTTTTACTATTAATCGGTACGATTTTCCATCTTCATTTTCTTCTTTCACTTTTTTCTCTTTCCTATCATCATTACCATCATCATCATGATCATCTTCATCTTCATTTCCTATTTCCTTTTCACCATCATCTTGCTCTTTCTCATAATCTTTTTTTCTTCGGTTAACAACTTTTCCTTCAAGCAACTTTCGATAACTAATCTTCCCACCAAAACTCCCTAGGGATTCTTTTGATTGATTCCACTGAATAAATATGTTACCATTCAAAGATGATGGTGATAATAATGATGTTGAAGTTGGTAAAAATAAAGGTAACGATGACGATGGTGATGGTGATAATGTAGATAAGGAGGTTGAGGTAGTCGTTGGAGTTGTAGAGGTTGCTGTGGAAGCAGAAGGTAAAGAGGAAGAGGTTGATGTTGATGGTTCTTTGCTTGATTGTGTCAGGGTCCCATTTAATTCACCAGTCAAGTTATTAAAAGCAATTTTATAAGATTTAGCATTTATCCTTTCCAGGTAATCAGGAATAATTGGAACTAAAACGGATAAAGAAAAAAAAAGAAGAAAACAAAATCAATTAAACAAAACAACAAAATTGAGTTTGAATTCATTTTTTCATCATTCACGCATATCCCAATGGAAACAACATACAAAACCAATTTATCTTTGTTAGCTTATCCCTAATTTGGTCTAATTGTTTCATTTTACAGACCATCTAATCTGAGCTTAATACAAATTGACAAATGCGCAAAAAAGAAACAAAAATGCAATTCAAATGCAGATAAAGTAAACTTGGTTCAACCATTTTACTTACCGACCATGGTTAGTAAGATATTATCAACGAGAAAACTGCAATAGATTAAGATGACCACACTTAGTTTACTGTCTTTTAAATTGGTGGCCATATTTGATAGAACATAACTTAAATCTGTCCAAATTTTACGCTGATTAGATGATAAAATTCCCATCTTTGCTGTCCACTCCTGATCCTATCCAAAGTTGAAAGCAATGGCTTGTCCTGTATTGGATAATGGAAAGGTTGAAACAAGTAAATTACAATTTTCAGGATATTTAACAGAGTCAGTCAAAAAAATACGTTGGATAATGTCATCATAACAAAACAAATAAAATGTAAAAAGTCACAATGTGATGAGTTGACTGGAGTTACCAAAAGTGATAACTTGTTTAGACTTGGAGGTTTTGTTTCACTCACCTTTTGGTTAATGCATCAGCATAAAACGGGAGTCAAAGTGATAGAAAGGGTTTCCAACCATTTATATTGTATAATGCTCGTAAAGTAAGATTTTCATTACAATCTAAACAAATTGAACAGAGAGCGGGTTAAGTCTTTAAAAAGGATAATTTTTTGTGTTGTATGAGAGAGCATTTTACTTGTTACACTTACCTTCTCATTGTTTACTCAGTAACTTTATCTCAATGGAACAGCAGTAAACTCAATGTAAATACATTTACCTTTTTACGTACTTACCCTTTCATCGGTGCTACACCAAGCCATCTTTTCATCCTTTAATTGTTTACTTTGTATTAATATATTACCTTTTATATGTTATGTTTTGACTTTTAAAAAATGCAACAGATAATCTGTAAGGAAGAGAGAAATCAAGGAAGACTTGAAAACGATACAAATTATAATTACAAAGATGAGTTATAAAACCTCTCAGTTAATGCTGGAGGTTGTTGAAACTGTTGAAGGCTCCAGTTTTCGTAAATAATGTTCACAATCATTAAGATTATTCAAAGTGTGATTTTATTACATTTACAATAGACTAATGATAAACTAATATACATGGAAGTATTGATAGTATCACTCAAAATAGGTGGATTTTCTGGTTGATCATCAAAAGTTACACCATTAAGATGCTTTTCATGACAAAAATCTACTTTTATGATTGAACAAAAGGCGATCGAAGTTTCAGCTTTGAACTCGATTTTCTCATAAACTGTGGACCAGAGAAATTTTGCAAATCGCACAAAATTTCTTAATTTATTTCGGTAATATCTGGTTTCAACAGATCCAAGATTTGTTAGATTTGATCTTTGTTTTGTTGATATTTGAATCAAGTAACCAAGTTTGGTGAATAATAAATTCAATTTGATCGAACAATCAAGATTCGAGATTTTGATCTCAGTTAGTGAATACGAGCCAAAGTCTCAAATCTTAACCTAAATAATCAAGTTTTTGACACCATTTCATAGAGTTTAAACAAACGCGCCATGCTCAGATTGAAAATCATGAAATTGTCTGCCCGACAAACAGTGAAAATAAGCTATTTTCAGTTTGTCCCATAATCTGGCAGGTTACTGTATAACCTCAACCAGTAAAATACATATGTAAATCTTTGTTTTTTTTGCTTTTCCCTCATTATCTCTCTCACCTTCTCAATCACATCAAAGAGTAACAAGAGACTGGACGAGAACAGAAGACCTCAAATTGAGATAATAGCTTGAAAATCGGTTGATAGATGGCGCTTTCTTTCTCCCTTTCTTTTTTCCTTTCATCAGACCCATCTATCAACCGATTGCGGAGCTAGCCCTTATCTCAATTTGAGGTCTTCTATCCTCGTGCTATCTCTTGCTCCTCTTTGATCACATCTTTCTCCCTTTCTCTCTCTCTCCTTAAATCGTTAATCGCCTGTTAAATAAATTTAATAATCTTGTGTACAGCTTTTTCCATCGGAGGACATTTAAAGTGTTTTTTGTTTTCGCTATCCTTTAAAGTGTATCTATTTTGTGTTTGGCATCGTATGGCATCTCAACGTTTAATTTATGAAGGACCTTTAGTGTCTAAAATAAAGTCAATCAAATTGTTATCATTATCTACAAGTATAGCTGGTTTTGCGGCCCAAATGTATATCTACAGAAAGAGCTCACAAGAAGGTTCAAAAATTTCAAAATTAACCCTGGTGATTTCATCAACCATGGTCTTAGCTTTTTCTCTAACTCCTTTACTGCTCAATTCCATAACGAAACGTTATGTTTATCAATTATATTTCAATTCAAGCAGTAAAAGTTTCACGGCGTATACTCTAAATTTTTTGAACCAACCTGTCAAAACACAATTTACAAAATCAACACTTGAACTTGCTCCAGTTGCCTCTCCGTTTACAACAATTTTGGTCAACAAGAAACCTCTTTTTGTTGATCTGAAAGAAATTAAGGACCCTGAAGCCCTAGAATTGTTTGTTTAACTGAAGAGTATTCTTAATAGCGTTTGTGTTTATGTAGATCACATTTAGATTAATAATCTTGTTTACATGACAAAAGGTTTACATTAAAGATTTAAATCGAATTTTGAGATGTTGAAAATTCATTTTATTTTAATTTTATCTTATCCATTAGATTTTACTCTCAGCTCGCGATCATCTCAATTCAATTCAAAAAAATACTTTTTGGTTCCTTCACGAAGATTCTTTGAAGATTCCTGGCTTTATTTTCTGGATAATCTTTTCATCATCATCCTTTATTTTTTTATGCCATTTGATGTTTATTTATTTTCGATTAGATTTTCGTTTTTCTTGTCATAACTGAATGTCATTTGACCCGTTGAGAGCATAAAATATGGCTTTTAAGTTGGTGTTTTGGTGAACAGTAAACAATTGACTTTTCTTTGTTTCAACAGGGTGACATTTATCATAATTATTACACAGAATTAATTAATTGCGATTTATTGTTTTGAATTTGAATTTTTTTCATCGATTTCTGTATGTTTTCTTACGAATCGCATCTTTGTCTTTTTCGGCAAATTTTCGTATAACAGATGTAGGGGTAAAATTCAGAGGAATGACTACAGGTTGTACGAAATTTTGATTAACAAATTGAGGTCCTACGAAATTTTGATTAACAAATTGAGGTTTTCCGGGCAAATGTATTGGTGGTCTCACATTCAAAGGTATGACTACAGGCGCTTTGGAATTTGGATTAACAAATTGAGTTCCTCGACGAGACATTGCTTTAAGAAGCAATCTATTGAAATCACTGTGTTCAACATTCTTGTCTTGTTGATTTCCATCATGTTGATTGGACCCACTGATAGGAAAAGACCTGAGACCTGCTTCAATCTCTTCTACACTTCTCGCGTGTTCAAACTTAGGCAAAGTAGGCAAAGATGATTGTTGTTGCATTAAATCATTGATGTTAATGTTGGCCTTTTGAAGAAGGTTAAGCAAATCTTTTCCTTTGTTGACTGGACTATCATTGTGACCATGTGCACCGTTTTCAGTACCATTTGTATTGATATGACCACCGTTGTGATGATGGTGTCCGTTGTAAGTTTCAGGATTACGTAATCCCAAGACAGTTGGATCAATGCGATGGGAACCATTTCCCAAATGATTGTGATTGAAAAGGGTTCTTTCAATCTCTTGTACCGATGAACGACGAGAATCGTGAGGGGCAGCATTATATGATGATGAAAAGGTAACATTTTGGAGTAATCTGTCAATGGGGCTTTCCGTTTCAGTCCTACTGACATTAAACCATTGAGCAAATCTACTGGTACCGCCATTTTGATTCTGTCCTGATACATTCGGGTCGGTAAACCCTGGAATGGAAGTAACATTCTCTGGACTCATGCTGACAATATTTTTCCAGCCTTCAAACTTAAACATTTCATTAATATCGAAATCTTGGATTTCTTTCGAACCAGACTCGTGCTCTTCTACACCATTACTTTTGTAGTGATTGTGATTTTCAAAATGCTCTTTAACATCACCGTTATTTATTAGAGAGCCCTGGCCACGTGATTCTGGTTCTACATGTTGGTTTTGTGGTCGATGATGATTTTGTCGTCCTTTGGACACTTCATCTTCAGGCATCTCTTCTTCGAAACCTTTAAGCTCAATAGTATCATGTTGACTTGTTGGACCACCAGTAAACCATTCAGGTTCCTCTTCTTCGTGATTTCTACTATCACGGCGATCATGATGACCATATCGACGGTTGTTCATAGATGATCTACGATCATAGTCATATCTTCCAGAGTTATTCGAGTTACCATTAGTGTATCTGAGGTTTGATCGTCTGTTTTCAATCTCCTCTTCACGATCTCGAGACTTAGACCATTCCAAGTTTGACTTATCACGCTGATTCAAGAGACGACCAGATCCTATTCTTCGATTTACATTATCATTTCTATGTAATAATTGTTCTTCACGTCGGTCTTGTTGATGGGCATGGTTATCTGCTTTGCCAACAGAGCTACGCTGAGCTTGAGTGCCAGTTGCAACTGGCTGTTCATTCCTTACAGGTACTATGTGGCAACCTGTGCCAAAGCTTCGTCTTTGAGGACTTAAAACGATATCATCTTGAGATTCTTCTTTAACTCGATCCCTAGGATCCTTTCTATTCCTTAAGGAGCTTTCACTTTCGCCATTAACACGTTTCGGTGGACCCCTGATATTTTTATTAGTCAAACCTGGGGCTGATAAGTCATGGTCTCGTGTGCTTGGTAAACTGGATGGAATCGGCTTATTTGATGGGTTTTTGTAATTCATCCACAAATCTGGATCCCAGAGACCTGATTTACTGTAAAATTAAGGAAGCAAAAAACATATAAGTTTGAGGTTTTTGAGACTAATGCATAATTTAAATGAAAGAAACGTACTTGACATAGTCAGGATCCAGGAATTTGGGACGCTTTCCACAGTAAGGTTGTTTTGATATCTCGATAAGTTCTTCCTAGAAACAATAAATGAAAAGATAAGACGAATGAACAAATTAATCATCAGAAAAAAGTGAACTATAGTCATGCACACTCATCTAACGGGAAAAGACAAAAACCACTTGAAAGACTGTTACTACTATGTTCGCCTCAAACAGCAACAGAGTTAACCTTGATTAATGAAATAAAATGATCACATCGAAGTTTTTAATTGGCTGAACTCTGATAAGTACAGCAAAATCATTTATCCTAATGACGTATACAACTAATCAATTGTATAAAAATTCAACCTGGAGATGTCAACAAATGAGAATGCAAAGAATGAGAGCCTAAGCCCAACAACTTGATAGTCGGGAATACAATTCATAATGGGCTGAAATAGAGCAATAATTCAATATGATGTAAAACACATCACATAAGCCATAATTTTGAACCAGACTTGAATTTGATTGTTAAACTAAAAATTGTAAGAAACAAATAAATCTCATAAATAAGCATAGCATCAAAAGGATAAGAATCTTGCTTTATTTGAATGAAAACAAGTAACAGATGAGAGTGTAATGACAAATTTGATCATAAAGAGGACAAAGAAAAAAATAACCCAGGAAAGAAAATCGTTTATTTAAACCAGAAAATCAAATTTCTCTCTTTACTTCTTGGAGCAATAGATATTGGATAGAAGAAATAGAAAATGAATAACAATACCTTTGAATAAGTAAATCTTTTTGTCTTTACAATTGGCGTTTCTTCACTCAGATTAGCCTCACTACCATTTACATGAACCATTTTATCCTCTTTTTGAGCTTTAATAAATCCATTGATAACGTCACTCATTATTATTGTTATTACTATTATTACAATTAAGATAGATGAACTTTATAGGATAGAGGAGCGAAAACAAAAAACACTTTAAATGTCCTCCGATGAAAAAAAGCTTTACACAAAATTATTAAATTTATTTAACAGGCGATTAACGATGTAAGAAGGAGAGAGAGAGAGAGAGAGGTTAAGAAAAGAGGATACAGAGAGAGAGAATTAAAGTGAGAGATAGAGAGAGGGGGAGAGAGATGTGATTGTGAAGGAGAGAGAAGGAGAGAGAGAGATAATGATAGAGGGAAAAGCAAAAAAAACAAAGATATATTTTACTATAGATAATTATTTATATATTTATATTGTTTTTATATAAGATTTTATGTGTAAACTGAGGTAAAGGAGCAAAAGGTAATGTTATTTGTAGCCTGAGGTGTGGTTCTGCTTTATACAGACTGCCCTTCTCCTTTGTTGAGGGGAAGCAACAAGCGTGAGCAAGTTATTCCCCTTAACTCGAAGGAGGTTTTATTATTCATGGCGCGATTTACAAATGAAATTTAATCACAATTTAAACATTAATTGTAATAATTTCAATTCCCTTCATAATTATAAAAATAGTTGCTATTATTTCCGTTGTTTACCAGCTTATATTCAAAACACCATTCAAGATCAATACATGATTTGTGAAGTGCAGCCAATAAACTTGGTAATTGGTGGAACAACATTTAATCTTTAAGATTAAAATACCTCCATTTTGAATCACTTTTTTTCCTTTTAATCCCCAGGTAAAGTTGAATGATGACTATTTTAATGTAGACAGAGAAGGGAAGAAAGACAAAGAGAAAAATTTAAGGTTAGTTTGTTTCATTTGATTTAAATTAAAATCTGCAAAAGCTATTGGAGGACATTGGAGAAAATATTTCCGATTTTTCTGAAACTCTCAAGCTTTATATGTCGCAGTCAAACAGCATATTAGTAATTGTCACTAAATGGTCAAATCCAAATAAAAGGTCAGTAAACCAGAAGCTAGTATATTTTCAACTCTTGTCCATCTAAATTAACCGCATAATCAAACCGTTTAATGGCTTCAAACAACTCAAGTAAAGTGATTGGTAAAAAAGGGACAAATCCATAAAAACCCTCCTTTAATATTTTAGCTTTACCGATTCTGGTTTAGCTGTTTAACCAGATTCAAGATGATTTGAAATATAACAGCAAAAACGATTTAATGTTATTAATTATCTTATTAAAGCTATTTTGGGTTGAAGAGATTCGATAGCTAATTAGTTTGAATCGTTAGATGGCGACTGTGAAATCATAAATTGTTGTAGTGACTGAAGTTTCGCAGAGGCGCAATTTTTTGTTTGTCACTTGAGTCGACGAGAAGACAAGAAAATAGTGAAAGGTTAAAGACTGATTAGTCTCTTTGTCTATTGTTTGGTGAAAATGAGCAAAAAGTTTATTTTAATCGTGAAAGCTAGTTTTTAGGGGAAAAGGTAATTCCAAAAAGTGAATGTTAACCAATGAACGTGAAATTTAAACAGAAAAAAGGTTTAGATTATGAAAAGATTATGTCGAGGTGTCAGCCATTATTATTTTCAACAAGAAAAGTAAATCAGTTGAATTTAATTTTTTATCAAACCTTACTAGTTTATAATTGTGTCTACTGTTTATTATTCGTGAACTTCATCAAAAGGAGGTAACATCTTTAATGTTGAACAAACCAAAAAGATAAAACAAACTCAATTCAATCCCGTTGGGAACCTAATCAGATATTTTAATAGAAGATCCTGATTGATTTTAGCTAATCTTTATTTCATCCGTTTTTTTTGTCAAATTGTTGCTGTTGCTGGACACCAGTAACAACCAGTTAATTTACCTTGTGAGTGTAATTTTACTGTTTTTTCACTTGGTAATCTTTTTGTTGCGCTTTCATCATTACCACTGCCACGGATAGTAACGTATAAGCTATTACTACCTTCACCTTCGTCATCGTCATCGTCATCACCATCATCATCATCATTACCATCATTAACTTAATCGACAATGACTGTTAGCTATCAATCAGATGTTGCCTCATCAACCTCCGGTGGCCTTATAAGACTCCTTTGGAGATGGAGAGGAAGTGTTTGGAAGTTGGTTTACAGAGAATTGTTACTTTTTATTGTTGTTTTTTTAGGCCTTTCATTGGCTTATAAATTTTTGTTTACTGATAAACTCAAAAGGCAAGGATAAATTCATTATTCCTTTGATTTGTCACCATTCGTTGAACTCTGTCCTCGCGCTGTTCAACATTGGCTGTCCATTTCAAATTTAATTTCACTATTCGTTATTTTCAACCGTTTTTAAGTTCATCTTTCATTTGTTTGGCTATTGAAATTTTAACTTAACATTCAAACAAACTTAACCCACCAATGATTTTTTAATGCAGTAAAAAAACTAATCTTGATATGAGTCAAAGTTTCTTCAACATTACAAAAGATTAAGAAACTTTGAACTCTGAAATCATTTTTTCTTCTCTCTAAAATCCAACAGATTTGCTTTTCCTTTTTTCAACTCTAGTCAATCTCAACTTTTGTTTTCTGTTTTTTTTGATTAGAAATCAAAATCAAGCCTAAAATGGAAAACTTGAAACTTAGTTAGCAACAAGTAATTATTCATCTTTTGCCAAAAAGATGTTCATAATTGTAATTATGAAAGTTAAAGATAACATTTAGCGACAAGTTAAACGTTTGGCATTTGTCTTTCCTTTAATGATTCGTAAAAAATATCAATGTTAAACATAGGATAATGGAAACATTAGTCCATTAGGTAGAGATATTCATTTTGGACAACAATACAAATCATCTTTAGATTTACTCATCTCTTTAATAAACCATTTTGTTTCATTTCTTTTCTCTTCTAGGAATTTCGAATATTTGGTTATTTTTTGTTCAGCCTTTGTAGACATGATCCCATTATCATTCATATTAGGCTTTTATGTATCGTTCACAGCCACACGATGGTGGAACCAATACACGGCCATCCCTTGGCCTGACAAGTGAGTAAGTTAATCATTCATCACTCCCCATCTTCTCAACCTACTGTCATCTCCTCCTCCCTAATGTTGGTAATTATCACATGATTACCTGTCCAGTTATTTTACCACAAAAGCTTCATCTATCATCAATAATGCCAATAGTTATTAATGAAGCTGTCATATTGACGATTCCCCTTAGTTTCATCCTCACTAATCTCTTGTCTTTCTCGTCTTGTTAAACCATTTGTTCATCATTTTATTTTCATTCTATTCATCAGCATTATTATCATCTTCATAATCATCATCTTCGTCATCATGGAATGTTTCAGTTAACACTTTTTCGTTCACTCTCTTTGACTTGACTTGACTTTTTCTCCTTTCATGCTTCTCTTCATCACTTGGCATCATTTCTCATCTCAAGTTATATTTACGATCTTCCTTCTCTTGTTATTACATTGACTTGAAGTAAAAAAGGTTGAACCGTTGATTTGGTGCCTTTAGTAGGGCCAAAAAGACAGTGTAAAAGAAGAGGAAAAAGACTTGAGACTAAGTGGAGGTGTATATTAGTTAGTATTTGTATTATTATATTAAGCATTAAAGCCAATTTTTCCTCTGTTGATAATGAACAAAATGCTGTCTACCCCAAAAAAAACCTGCTTGGCTTAAATTCAAGAATTATAATATTTTGTTTGATATTAAAAACGGTTTCTCTCTCCCTCTTCCCTCCTCTCCTTCATATTGATGTCTTTTTATAATATTTTCATTTTATTCATTTTATCTAATGTTTTTTTCTCATACTGTTCATCTTTATTCCAGATTAATGAATAACATCGCCATGTATGTTCCTGGCTCAGATGAGACCAGTAGGATGCTCAGGAGAACTCTAATGAGGTATCTAAATTTAACATTGGTCCTGGTTTTAAGATCAATAAGTATAGCTGTTAAAAGACGATTCCCGACCAAAGAGCATCTTGTCGAAGCTGGTAAGATGGTGTCAGTTGTCGTTATCAAGTTCAAATCACCTTATATTTGTGTCGCATATTTATCGTTAACAATATGTTAGGAAATGATTCAATTTTTATATCATCATGTCATAGGAATCAAGTTTATCTGTTGCCTTATAAACTTTGTTTAACCAAAAGCTGTTGCATTTCAAGAGTAAAATCTTGATATTTTATGCCAATTTGATTTGATAACTTTGCAACATTATGTTAAGACAGCTTTAACTTATAGCAATTTTGTTTCTACATTTAGGTTTTATGACAAAATTAGAGCTTGAAATGCACACTTCAGTGCCCTCCAATGAATTTAACACATTCTGGATTCCCTGTACATGGTTTATCAACCTTTTAAGGGAAGCTCGACAAGAATGTCGCATAACTGATTCTTCAGGACTAAAACTGATAATGGAGGTAAGCTTTCTTTTATTTTCATTTCACTCAGTCTAGATTTATCAACTTTAATTACGTCTTTCTTATTTCTTATTTCATAATTTAGGAATTTAACGAGTTTAGAAGTAAATGTGGCCTTCTCTGGAGCTATGATTGGGTCAGCATTCCATTGGTTTATACTCAGGTTGGTTGAATTATTTAACTATGACAATCAACTGCATCCAATTTGATTGCCATCGCATCGAGTGTATTGCAGTTGAAATCAGCTATTGTCGTAATTGTAACTTTATAAGGATATCAAATGCAGCTAAAAATACCAAGTGCTCATGTTAGTGATTTTCATAGATTTGCATTGGAATGAGATTAACCATAACCCAGTTAAGCCGCGTTATTAAGTTGATAAGTTGTTTCAAATGAAAGTATCCAAAAATGATTGCATAACCAGAGTAATTTAAATTCAAAATGGTATTAGCTCTCAATTGTTCAGCTTTAGTTTGCCAAAATAAAAGTGAAATTGTAAATATTTTAAATGCAAGGTTGTCTGTTGGCAGGTAAACTGTCATTAAATGATGTCAACAACAACAGAAGGGGCAATTATCAAAATAATTCAAATATTTAGGTTAGAATGTCGAAAAATGCCTTTTTGTTTGTTTTTATGTAACATTTTATATTCCCAAAGAGCCTATTAATTTTCCTCAACAGATTTTACTATTGGTTTGTTTTACCCACAACCTACTAATCCTATGCATGTCAATTATCTAATTTTAAACAGATAGCAAAGAAGGAAAAAAAGTCCAATCAGAATGACTGTTAACCCAAGTTATAAATTGTGAATGCAAATCAAAATGGTTCTCCATATTGTTACTTTTGATTTGTCAACATTCACTGTGAATTATTTTCTCACTTTGAGATGCAATTAGAATGTAAAGGAATCTAACCAAAGGAGCAAACCCTTTTTTCATTACGTTTTTAAACTTGGTTTTTTGGCTTCATTCCTCAATTAAAACTAAACTGGAAGAGGATGATAAAGTATGATTATGGTGATGAAAAAAAGCACTAGATAAGCATTGTAAAAGGGACACAAAGCTCCAGGAAATTGAAGGAAACCTGATGATGATATTAGCATGCCACAATAAGAAAACTCTGTCTTGATATGTTTTAAGATTCTTTTTGTTTGATGCTTGGATCAGCATTTGATAACTTTGATGTTTGGGAAAACAAATTGAGAAATGGAGTCAATTTTTCTCACTACCTGTTTTAATTGTCTGAGCGAAGTGAAGAAAAAACCTCGATTGCACTGGCAAAACTCAAAACCCATGTAACGGATCTCTTTCAAGTTTGATTATATTGTAGATACAATATATACGCAGTATCGATAGTGACACTCATAACCTTAAGCACTTGAAAACATACGTGCTTAGTTCAAAGTGTGAAGCTATTTCCAAAAAAACGCAGGACAGAAACCAGAGCAGGACATAAAGATGTAGATTCAAATATTAGGTTGAGTGTTTTTTAAAATATGTACAGAATTGATAAGTTGAGATGGTTCACATAGACATATTGCAATGCATAGTAACTATTGGAAAATTGATGCTTTGTAATTATCTTACCTTTAAATGTTTTTCCTTTAATTTTTAGTTGAATCAGTTATCTAATATATTCAGAAATTTCGTATAATAAGCCTGTCTTCTGTGGACAGAAACACTATGTCTCTGTGTCTAGCTAAGTCTTACCATGACCTCATTTCAATTTTATAAACAAAAGGAGCAATAAAAATCGAATCGATGAGTGCTTTGATTGTTTGAATATTGAAAAAAATTGAAACAGAATTAACTAAAAAATAAGCATTCGCTCAATCACCAAATAAAATCACCAGATGGCGACTGTGAAACAGTCAAATTGATGTTCACCAATTTTGTTTACATTTTCGTGATTATTTCAACTTTAATTGTGATTTCCATGTTTCTCTTTTTAGGTGGTAACAATAGCTACCTATGCATTCTTCACTGCCTCTGTATTTGGACGACAAAAAATTGAACGGAGTCCAAAAGTATTTAATGTTGAAATTGAACATCGATATGAGCCTTACATTCCTGTCTTTACAGTTTTACAATTTTTACTTTACATGGGCCTTCTTAAGGTAATTCAATTGTTTAATTTAACATGTTTAATGTCAATGTAAACTTAAATCTTATTTATTTACTTATTCTACTTACTCTCTTTCAATATTTCTAGTTAGGTGAACAATTAATTAATCCATTTGGTGATGACGATGAAGATTTTGAATTGAATTGGATTATTGATCGCCATTTAAAAGTTTCAATCTTAGGTGTTGATACATTAAATTGTAGTCCACCTCCCATGACAAAGGATTGTTATTGGGATGAACTTGATATCAAATTACCATACACAGCCGCTGCTGTATCCTACAAAAAGCGCACTTATCGTGGCTCAATGGCATCATATCAGTAAGTTTTAATATCAACCGAACGGAGTAAAGTAACTGAAGTTAAGGTCATGGGTAATATAACAACAGTCGTTGCTTTAATATTTAATTTACAGTAAATGAACTTTTTGATCAATCAGTTTCATTTATCCCTCCATTATTAAAAAGATATTAGTTGAATTTGTCAGCTCAATCGAGAGATACTCACACGCTTAGCTGGTTAAACTGTGACTCGAGGGATACTTTAGTTACGATTGACCTCTTTTGTAGATAGTGAATTATTATCAATCACTTAGATCTTGATTATTTCTGATTTGAAAATATATGCTAAAGTCTCATTTCCTAATCTGTAGATTAAGGCAAAATCCTGAAATTGCTCAGATTTATAATGCCTTTAAGAAATAATTGCTAGAATTTTCAAATCTTCTGTTAACAAATCTTTATGTATTTTTAATTAATCTAAAATTAACAAAACTCTTTCACTTTTTGATCGCAATTTGTTCATGTTAAACTGATCTGGTTTCTTTAATTTTCCTTGTCTAACAAATAGTGTTCCAAGTGAGCAGCAAGGTCTTGTTGTACCTGAATTCGAAGCGGAAGAAGATTACGAATCCGAGGGCATCAGTGATACTCTCAGCAAAAAGGATAAAAGTTCATCGTCAATTTTTGGTTCCGTTTTTAGTGCTAAATCCATAAAACGAAATGAAAGTTTAATGACGCTAGGCTCGGAAGATTTTGAAGCCAATTACCCTGAAGTTTGGAGAGGGTCTTCAGCATCATTTTTTGTAACCAATGAGGAAGTAATTTATGAAGAAAATGGGAAAAGCTCGATTGTTAAACCAAACGGTGCTGAAGCAAATGCTCGCAAATCTTCTGGTGAACAAATTAACCAGGAATTTCAACGTATCCGGGGGTAAGATCAACCTGCTCCTTTAATCTCAATGCAATCAGACTGCGAGATTTTATTAATTTGCTTATTAGAGAATCAAAATAGAAAATGCAAAGCCATGTTTAAATTCATAATTCTTATCTCTTATATGCAATTAATCACTAAAGAGCTTATTGTTTCACTACTAACTCACTCTGTTATTTTATTTTATACAGAGATTCAACATACTTCATTCGAAGTCAGCCAAGGAAACGCTCAGATCCATTATCAGTTTTGCTTGTTTCATCAGGAAGTGAAGACAAATCATCTGATCCTTTATTGGCGTTTGCAGGTCATACACCTAGACCCGATATAACTTTCGACCCAACTCTTGGTGTTTTCTCGAATAAAAATCGTTTGGAGAGTGCTCCCCCTTCTCGTCGTCCATCTGCGTCTAGTCTTGTCAAACAGTCTAAAGAAATCAAAGTACAAGCTGCTCGTCCTCCATTACCTGAAATAACTCCAGCAATGCTTGATTCTCGACTAACTGAGGTATCTGTAGCTCGCTCTGCAAGCTCAGCATCAAGAAAAATTAGTAAATCAGGTCGTTCTGGGTTACTCAAAATGGGTAAAGGTGAACCAGGCTTAAGAATACGACCTTTTGTCAAATCAAAAGTCACCTTCAGTGAAGATACTAAAGCTGAATTTAGTACCAAAGATTCAGCTTCGCTTTATCATCTTGACCCAAGATTCCAGCCTGACCCAATGAATGGACAAATAGATTTAACTCTATCCACTCCAGAATTAAGTCAACGCTCAACTGACAACACTTCATGTGGTGGTTACCTCGATAAACGTCTGTCAGATTGTTCATCTTCACGGCCAGTGGCTATGCTGGCTCATCCAGTGATGCAGAAAGCAACTTTAGTAGACACTAGTCATGTTGTCATGTCTCAAGCCACGGTTTGTGCTGGTGCTCCTCCCTTGATTGGATCTGCTAGCGGTTCTTCAACTTCAATTCGAGGCGTCAGGAGGATATCATGTGATGATGTCAATAAAAATGGTTACACAAGACCAGACACAGAGGAAACCCAAGTTTGGTTAAGGCATCAAAGCTTACCAAATATACAAGAGATAACAGAAGAAGGTGCTACTTCACCAGGCCCTGATTGTGGCGAAAGAGAGTTTGGCTTAGTTCGAGGACCTTCAAAAAGACATAAAGAAACAACAGGAGAACGTGTTTTAGGTAAAATGCTGTCTAGACAAAGTGAAGTAGAAGAAGACATTGACCAACCACCAGAAAACACTGGTACAGAAATCTCAGACATTAATTCAAAAGATGAATCTCTAGTTAGATTATCTTACCGGGCTGATGAATTTTCGCCCGATCCTGCTAGTAATTATTCAAAAAGCACGCCACCGAAGGAAGGTGGAGGCAATGGTAGCAGTGAAAGCTGTAAAATTCAAACCAATGTAGGATGTGGAGGTAACGATATAGCTAACTCTCGTAGGCCTAGAAAACGAGCTGCAATTCGTCCTAGCAATAGTAATTCCTCCAAACAATCATCAACTGAAAGTGAATCTGGTAGCTATGCAACTGCTTGCTCTTTGTTCACACCAATATCTGAAGAAGAGGCTGCTCGACAAAAACTCGACAACAACGGTGCCAATAAATTATCTTTCCACTCAACGGATTCATCTATTTCATCATTTTCATCGGCAAAAGACCAAGACCAAGACACCGATATGCTGATGCCCATTAGTCCATCCAACTCTTTTTCAATGACCAACAGAATGAGCAGTGATAGTGCAATCTATGGGTCACATTTAGACCAAAATTTACCCGAAATTGTTATCCTTCCAACAAGCCCAGCTGAATCGACGATAGATATTGTGAGAGCGAACGAAGATAACCAAAGTTAACATTGACTTTATTAGACTCTTTTATATCATCATTTCTTTGTACCATCTTTTGCTTTCGATCAATTGTTTTAATAAATGATGAAATACGATGAAAATTATCAAATTTAAATTTGAATTTACCTTGTTTGTCTTCTTTTATCATCACTATAATAAATTTAATTTCACTCTGATTCATCAAAATGAACACAACCGAAGCAGAAGTTGTCCATGCAAAGCAATAATTTTGAACCAGGATAGGTAGCAATTTATCAGTTTGTTGATTACTCATATTGTTACTCATGTGCACCATAAAACAAGCTTACAACTCATTCGAGATTTTAGATTCATAAGATAGCTCGTATTTAAAAGATTTTTGATAAGATTTAAAAGTGATTCAATCAACGGTACAAAAGGGTTGAAAATAATGAATGATTCAATATAATCACATGGCTGTCCTTTAATCTAATAGCAATCAAAAAAGATAAAATTTACAGAGCAATTTTGTATCAAAATTCAGCTTCAACGAATGTCTGAATATCTATCCGCTGAATTCTTCTATTAAGTGCTGAATAATCTTTTGAGTTATTTAGTTAAAATGAATAAGCTGGAATTAAAAAAGCATCATTTGAATTCTCGAAATGTCAATATCAGGCCATTTAGTTAAAAGCACTAAAAATCTTTGTTACATGTAATATTTAAAATTAGCAAGAGAAACAGTAAAATTAGCTTTCACAATTTTGCTCATTCCAAGTTTATTTTAAGTTTGTTTTCCTAACACATACGAGAAAGTACTCAAGTATAAGGACACTCAGTCATTGTTAATTATTTGTTAATGTGATTGATTATTGAAATAAATTTTAGTGATCAACTTAAATCATGCTGCAGTGTGTAAAATATAATGAAATGAATAAGCTTGATAAGGGAAAAGACACAATTATCACATTTATACACAAATTGAGACAAATGGGTAAAAATTGAATTTCTATCAAATTTAGACTCTGTTGGTTTGTAGGGACATAAAACCCGAGTCCATTTGTGCGATTTAAAAATGTCACAGTTCTTGAGAAAATTGGGTTCGAAGTTGAAACTTGCAAAGCTTTTTGCACAATTATGGAAGCTGATTTTTCCATGAAACTCATAGCACTTATGTAACTTTTGATAGCTCATCTGAAAATGTACTTATTTTGTAAAATAAAACTTTGCGTTTGCTGTAAAACCAATAAGCTCGATTTTCATGCAAACCGACCTTCTTCTGTGATCGAAAGAGTTAAAGAGCTGAAACTTACTATGCGTTTGTAAATATTTTTAGTACCATAAATGAGAACTGTTGTTAAATTACTAAAATTATTCAATCGATGATGTAAAGTAACAATTATCATGGACAAATAAGTTTCAGCTCTTTAGTAAACCGTTCATCAGAGAAATTTTTAAATAGCACAAATGGACTCAGTTTTTATGTCCCCACACGCCAACTGAGTCTAAATCTGAAGGAAATTGATTGTTACCCGTTTTTGTCCATTTGTGTCGATTCAAGGCAAAAGATTACAATGGAAGCAATAATTACAATAACCGAAATAATTGCCACAACTCGAGCTCCTTGCGATGACTCTGGATGTTCAAAGAGAAGCCACAGTTTTCGCTGAAAATCACCTTTAGGTAAAGGCGCTTCTTTACTTCGAGGAGCAAAACCTTCCTCAGCTTTAAACTTGTCAATTGCCAAAGAACCCAATTGATAGAAGCGAATCTCTTCCAGGAAAATGTCCAAAGGTACATTCATTGGTCTCCTCAATTTACCATTAGATTGATAGTAATAAAGTATTGGTTCAAAAGCTATGCGACATCGGTCAAAAAAATATTCATTCCGACGAGGGTCGAAATATCTAATATAAAAATAATAAACCATTAATATTATTTGAAAAGCTGGCAATTTAATTTAGCAATTTAGAAGATTAACAAAAGTTTGATTGAAATTAGGATTTTTAGTTTAGGATTTTTTTAGAAGTTAAATTAGATGTCAAAAACCAATTCATTTTAGGGCTAGCATTCAATCACACCGATCTTTATTAGCCCTAATACTGTAGAAGTAGCAAAACAAACATTTCTTCCACTATTTCTTTCTTCCATTCGACATTTAACAAGAAATAAGAGTACCTTTAAGATCGCAGTTTCCTATTGTTCTATGTTTATGAGAACTAAATATGAGCGAGATGAGGATACTACAAAATTAACTGAAAACTGACTCTTATTGTGAAGGATTTCATTACTTAAAACTAATGCTTAGCTTAAATGCATTGTAAATCTAATGAAACCGATGATTTTCAACTAACTAATGTTAAGTGGTATTGCTGAAAACTTCGACTTTCGAGTTTAGATTTGAGACTTGAAGGCTTTGTAAGGGCATAAACTGAGTCCATCAGTGGTTTTAAAAAGTTTCTTCGATCAACAGTTTTCGAGAAAATCGAGTCCAAAGTTGAAACTTCGATCGCGTTTTATTCCATTATGGTAGTAGATTTTTTCATAAAACTTCATTTTACTGATGCCAATTTTGATGATTAATCAGCTAACGTACTTATTTCGAGATACAAAACTTTCCGTTGTCTATAAAACAGATAAGTTCGATTTTGATTAAAACGTGTCGCATTTCGTGATTGTAACAGTTAGAGACCTGAAACTTATGAATTGTCGATAAAATTTGATGGCACACATCAAGTATCTAACGATTTTTCAAACTTATCGATATTTCTCTTGATTTTGGACGTTGACCCAAGAACTTTAGTACTCAATATTTCGAGAACGGTAGCACCTACAGCCATCATTCTATGACCAAATATTAGCTATTATTATGGACTCTGATATATTGAAATATTAAATTATTCATGATCAAACCAAATAAGTTATAGCATTTTATTACTTATGTTATCATATTTGAAACTTTGTTTATAAAAGTAAACCCAAATCTTAGATGATAAAAAGATATTCCTTATTTATTAAATTAACTCAGATTCCATTGGGTATTCAATCATATCAAGTTATAGCCCATAATAAAGTCTAATATTTGGTCAAAGAATGATGGCTGTAGGTGCTACCGTTCTCGAAATATTGAGGACTAAAGTTCTTGGGTCAACGTCCAAAATCAAGAAAAATATCGATAAGTTTGAAAAATCGTTAGATACTTGATGTGTGCCATCAAATTTTATCGACAATTCATAAGTTTCAGGTCTCTAACTGTTACAATCACGAAATGCGACACGTTTTAATCAAAATCGAACTTATCTGTTTTATAGACAACGGAAAGTTTTGTATCTCGAAATAAGTACGTTAGCTGATTAATCATCAAAATTGGCATCAGTAAAATGAAGTTTTATGAAAAAATCTATTACCATAATGGAATAAAACGCGATCGAAGTTTCAACTTTGGACTCGATTTTCTCGAAAACTGTTGATCGAAGAAACTTTTTAAACCCATTAATGGACTCAATTTTAATGTGCTTACAATTATTCATCGATTCGACAGTTGTGTTAACTGTCTCTTTTCAGCAAAACATCTTTCAATCTTCTTGGCTAATTGTTTAGTTTTCTGGTTGTTTTGGGTTCTTCTAAATGAAATGATTTGAAGCTGTTGAAGACTGTGTTTTATGTTTTTGGAGACTTAAAGTTTCAAATCAATCTGATTGTTGTTAGTTCTGAACTAAATTAATAATCGATGATTTCAGAAGCATCTTGACATAATTTTGATTGATTAGCCTTTCTATTGAGCTAGTCTGGACTCTTAACTATTCACAAGAAAACCTTTTCCTGATTACTAAAATCTATTAATAATAAGCTTAACTGACCTTATTCTTCGTCTTGGATCCCCTAGCAGAGTATTTGGAAAGGTACACAATGTCCTTAATTGTGTTTCGAAGCGAGAACCACTCACATTGATTGTAACCCGTTCACAGAGATGATGATTATGATTTAAAGGCACAAAGCGTTCATATTGGACATTCAAATTGACAGCCGAAGTTGACTCAATGCGTTCTCTAGCCTCGATCTCAGTAGTTGTTACCCTTGGAAATGACCTGAAACAATGAAATGAAAGACACAATCAACTAAGATCATCCTTTAATTAGGATTAATAGTTGAAGGAAAATAATAAGTTATTCTCATACGCTTTAAAGTAGCAGCGTAATAAAGTTAATGTACCATAATAAACTATCGAATGCTCATCATAAGCGTCCAATTTTGAGCCTTAATTCAAAGTTATTCATGACTAATGGATAACTAAATTAACACTGATTATCTTCGAAACTGCTATTAACGAGAAAATCAAACTCGCTTGATACAAAAGACTCTTGGCTTGCGAGCTTCGGTTAATTTTTAACAAGAGTTTCTTTTTGACGCTTTAGTCTATTTCAATTCAGAGATCGATCCATTGTTTTAACTCCAATAGACATCGTATTTTAAACAAACCATTTCAGCAAAGTTTATTGTGATACTGTTAATTTTTAGCATCATTAATAATGCCATTAAGCTTGAGTTTCTCATGTTTAATCCAGGATTATTATGAAACATCCCAACATAGTAAATTGCGAAAAAAGTCCAAGTTATCCTCATACGCAGCAGTAATTTTGAAGCGATTTAGAAGATATACAAAAGTTTGATTGAAATTCGGATCAATATCGTGATTTTAGCCATTTTAGCCAATGGAATCTAATGCTGGCTCAAGAACGGGCATTGCAGATGATACCAATCCCGAAATATTGAGGCTCAAAGTTTTAAGGCCAATGCCCTAAATCAAGAAAACTAGTGATAAATTGATAAAATTATTCAATGCATGATGTGAAGAAACAATTGTTATGGAATAATGATAAGTTTACTCTAAACCTTACGGTCACTGAAAGTTATCGGTTCAACTGAAAATCGAACTTATCTCTTTTACCGAAAAAGAAAAGTTTTATTTAACAAAATAAGTATATTTTCTGGTTGCCTATCAAAATTTACATGAGTACTATGAGTTACATTGAAAAATCTGCTTCCATAATTGTACAAAAAGCTTTACAATTTTCAACTTCAAACCCAATTTTCTCAAGAACTGTCGTTCAGAGGCCTTTTTAAATCGCACAAATGGACTCAGGTTTTATGTCCCTACAAACCAACAGAGTCCGGATCCCAAAGAAATTGATTTTTACCCGTTTTTGCCCTTTTTGTCAATCTTTGTCAATTGTGTTTTCAAGTTTTTATGGTGGTCTGAGATTTGAAGATACCATAATTAGTAGCTAATGAAGTGTGTTTTTTAATCTTTAAATAATATTTCACTTTTTATCCTATCGACCTATTTACATAATTTCAAGCTTATACACTCAATACAGAATTAGCCAAAGAATACCTAAGGTCATTGGTTGAAAACTCCAAAAAAATCTTAACTATGCCCTCATTGTTTATTTGTTTATACATCCTGAAGCGCTTCTATCTGGTTAATCATGAGTCATATTGATTACCATTGACTTTTGCTTAAAATACTGGGTATAAAACCAATTTCATCAAACATTTCCAGTAAATCATGCAAGAATAACGTGGTCAGAAAATTATCAACATCAAAAAGTAAACAAAATCAGATGTAAATATTTAGATTTATTAAATAAAGCTTAGTTTTAAGACAAGTAGCTTTAAATCCAATTTTCAAATATACTTAGGAATCATACAAAATATGCTAAATCATTTAGTCACGAGGAATAATCAGAAAATTAAAACATTTTTTATTAAATTACTATCGAGCGAAACATTAGCTGTAAAGATAACAGTGAAAAACTATTTTGCTCGTAAAATAGCAAGAATAAACTGAATGCACAGCAAGTTGAGTTACTATAATCAAGTTACTCAACTCTACCTGGTGAAAATGGATAAATATACAAAATTATTAGTAATTTAATTATCTCTAGGGTTGACTTTTATTGTTAATGTTATTTATTTAATTATCAATTGCTTGATCTGATCATTTCGCATCAACTGCCCTCTACACTCAGCTTTTTAAGTTGAGTTTAATCACTCTATTGAGTGAACTGTTATTACGCTTTGTTTACTGTGGATAGCACGAATCATGAGCCTTCGTTTTTTCATCACACACTGGTCAATTCCATTAACCATCCATTTCAACCGTCTTTTAATCGTTTTATTTTTTTCTCTTAACCTATGGATCGTTAAAGGTGAAATTGAAGTGAGGAACAGCCAAAATGTAACTATAGAAGTCTTAAATGACTTTGAAATGAGTTATGGTAAGCCTGTGCCTTTGGAAGGTATCAATGCCCGTCTGGTTCTGGCACAACCTGAATATGCCTGTGAACCAATTGCTGGTCCTCCAAAGAATTTTAATGACACTATGAAATGGTTTGTATTAATATACCAGTACCCTTGTAACATTCGCCAGAAGATGAGTTATGCATTACAAGCTGGATTTGATGGTGTTATCATTGTGGTACGTGATCCTGTAAGGAAATTGAATTTAACATCACTAGCTGTCAATCCTGACCACAATAACAGTTACAATGGTTTCTACGATTATGTTGACCCATTGTTCATTTCACCTATTGGTTCCACTTACCCTATACAAGCACTGTTGATTTCCAATGCCGATGGATCTTTACTGATTAATGATTACACTTACGACAAAGATTATCATGTCTTCATTACTTCCAACCTGCCATTTGATATAAATACGTATCTTATGCCATTTGTCATCATAATCGGCCTCTGTATAAGTGTGATGTTCTGTTTCATGGTAAATTTTTCAGGCTCAACTCTTTTTGTGGCTTCCCCTTTAACTCTGACTCCTTTTTTAACAATTATTTTGTCCTGTACCTACCAAAGTCATCGTCTTCTTTATCATCGAGTTATTCCTGCTTTGGCATGTTCTTTTCTATTTTATGTCAAACATATTTGTCTTATTTGTTTTAGTGTTACCATTGCATGTTCTGTTGCATCTTAAGTGTACTACACTTAATGTCTAAAGCCTTAACTCCTTGATTTTGATCGATCTCCTAATATAAAAGGCCATACTTTTACTATATCTTCCTAGGTTTTGCAGATTATTAGGTGCATACGTAACCATCGCAGAGGAAATAAACATCGATTAAAGAAAAAATATCTCAAGCAAATCCCAACAGCAAAATATCGCAAAGGTAATCAACATTTCTAATTTCTGTTTCGATCAAAGGCCCTTTTGCGAAGATTTTTCTGTTCATCTTCCAAAAAGACCAGGCACGATTGAGATCTCTATTCAACTTCACTACTTTTGAATTTGCATTAATATTTCCTTTTATCTTGTTATTTTATATTTACAGGAGAGCAGTTTGACACTTGTGCAATTTGCCTGGATGAATACATTGAAGGAGAAAAATTGCGAGTCCTGCCTTGTGGACATTGTAAGTGCCAAGTGGTTGCAGCTGAAAATCTAGTTGAAACTGGCAAAAACGAGATGATAATTTAGAGCGTATTTCATTCATCTAAATGACTCTTGAAGATTAAACAAAATAAATATTCAAATTTGGCCAGTACTGAGTGTTACATAAAGATGTAAACACAACAATCATTTTCAGATTAGATAATGCAACAGTTTTAACGCAAGAAATTTTAGCAAAAATAAGTTGCTTAGTGACTAAAACGTTCTCTAAGTTATCTTTTTAATTTACAAGTTTGTTTGTTCCTTCACTAATAATCTTATCAATAAGTCACTAATTATTGTTTTTCTGTTTTCTAGCATACCACATGAAATGTATCGACCCATGGTTAACTAAAAACCGAAAAGTTTGTCCTGTTTGTAAGGGTAAAGTAGTATTACCTGGAATGAGCGAGGATAGCGACTCAGAAAGGGAGGCGGAAGGAAATGAAGACAGTGCCAATGAAAGAACACCTCTAATCAATAATTCCAATTCAGAAGCATCCACCTCTACACATAGACTAACTGGTCACAGATCGTCATTGTCTAGGTTTCGTTATATTGATCGTAGTACCCAAGTTAACCCATCAAATCGTAACTCATCTATACTTACCAGTGTGGAGGCTGATATCACACCCATCACATTGGCTCCTGAACATTCTGTTAACTGTGCTATCGATTCCGAACCTGTATCGGGAAGCACCACAAATAATGCCAATCGTCCTTCTAGAAATCGCCAGACTGTCAGTCAAATTAATAATAATGGTAACACTAGTAACACCTTGAGTGAAACTAATGGTTTAAGTAATGGAGCCTCATCGAGTGTGCGAAATACAATAACACAGTCTACTAATACAAATCGTTCAACAACCAATCATGATATTATTGTTTGAAAAAGATATACAACAAAGCAAATATTAGCTACCAGGTGATGATGTTGATACATTTTAAAATTTGTAATATTGTAAAAATCTCAACACTTAGAGAACTAAATCAAGGAGAAAAAAAATGTTCAATCACACCAATCCAAGAAATCAGGAGATGAAAGCTAAGCTCACCATTTTTCTACTCCGACAGTCATTGGCCCATCCATTGTTTTCTTTATTTTTTTCATTTTCCATGAATTGTTTATTTTAACAAAAAAAAGAGTTGATTGTGAATTCTCTGCCTTTTGAAAGAATTGCTCTCACCTCTGTATAGTCATTCAATGAAATGTTAATCTCTCATCATTGTTGTAAAAATTTTTATATTAAATTTTTTTTCTCTCCTAAAGCAAAATTATATCATGTAATGTAAACCACATTGTTGTTATTATCACACAAACTATTTCATCTTACTAGAGAGCTAAATCACAAGAAAAATAATGCTAAACCTATTTAATCATGAAGTACACATCATTGTCCGAACTTATAAATAAATTCTTCATCCTCATCAATGATAACAGTTGTGATCTTTCTAAGGTCGATGAAACAGATAACGCCAAGTTTGTCCTTCAAAAATGGCATCTTCAACGCAAGGGTAAAACATTTCCGGATGACCTAATATTATACAATGTCTAGTCATATTGAGGTGATTAAAGAAGGCGTCTTTTAGTGTATCAATGCTTGATAATATTGTTTTGGAAGTTCAAAAGTACCGAGAACCTTATCTAATAATCTGAAGATTGTTTTTATTTTGATCACGAACAATGCGTTTACGAAATGATACCTGTAATCTTTTAATTGTTGAAAGAACGGCACATAAATAGCGAAGTTTAGCCAATTTTTCAATTTAAATCAGTTTATTTTTTGTAACAAATTGTTTCCAGCGATATATTCAACATTGTTTTAGAAGTGTCAAACTTTTTGAAAGTCGATTCCAATTAAGTGATCAAAATGGCCAAAATTACTTCCAAAGAGGTTTGGGAAATCGTTAAACTTTTACGGATAGATGTTTTTTACTTTTTGGCCACTCTGAGTACTTCACTACCTGGAATTGCTCTGAACCAACTGATGCAGGATAAATATTGTATCAACAAATATTCAATCAATGAAAGTGTCTGTTTAAATTTGGAATCTGCTGGACCTGAATTTGATACAGTTAGGAATGATGTATTGGCAGACACTACAACACTTAAAATGCATGTTACTCTAATGACAACAATACCAGCGATTATTTTATCACTCATTTTGGGTTATTGGATGGATAAATATCCTGGTCATCTTCGTTATCTTTCTGGTGTGGCATCTTTAGCAATCGTCTGTCAAAACATCATGATTATACATCAATGTCTACATTTTGAAATGGGTAAGTAAAGGATGTTTCAAGAAATTTGTCCACGAGCTTGATTGGCCATAGATAAACTTGCAATTAGATCATAAATATACTATTAATATTACCATTTGACACTAAATGTTTATCTTTTAGGCGCTGACGCATTATTGTGGACAAATTTGGTAACAGCTTTCACTGGAAGCGGAATAATTATTACGATAGGAACCTTTACTTATGCAACAAGAAAGACACCAGCCAAATTTCGAGCTGTTAGGTTTACAATAATCGAACTTTGCTTATTTGCTAGTAAGTTACAATATCTTTTCAATCAAAACTCATAATTTGAATTGTAAATGCTTGATGCTTAGATGCTTAATAATGTTATTATACTCGAAATTTTTATTTACAGCAATGCCTATTGCAAGTCTTTTGGGAGGAGGTATGCTTGAGTCTAAACCATGGTTTCCAAATCAGAATCGTAACTACATTGGAGTTTATATCATTTCATCTGTATTAGCGGTTATTGCGGCTGTTTGGGTTATGTTGTTGCTGTATGACGCTGTTGACGATGAGGTTAAAACAAATGAATCTCAACCAAATGGTGATGCTTCAAGTTCTGAAAATAATGAAAACAAGAAGAAAACAGTGAAACAAATAATTTATGATGTAATTAAACCAGATAATATCCTTTATTCAAGTCGCACAGTTTTCAAAAGAAGACCAAATAATGCTCATTGGTATTTGATTTCAACAATATTGAGTGGATTTATAGCAAACATTTGTTATTCCGGTGAACAATACATAGGATACCAGTTTAATCAAAAAGTATATCATTGGAGTGCTAAACAAATTGGAAATTACGGTTCTGCTTTCATTATTTTCCCTGCTTTTGGTGCATTCATTGGTCCTCCATTATTTATTCATAAAATGAAGCTTCATGATAGTTCATTGGCCACAATTGGTATAGTTTCAATGATGGCAACTTTCCTCTCCAGAGGCTTCATCAATAGTCCAATAGCATTCATCTTTGTCATATTTGGTTGTTTCGCTGGTGTTTTATTTGTTGCCGATCGATCAATTATTTCACGTATGATCCATGCAGATGAGATCGGGCAAGTTTACGCCTTTTCATCAGCTATTGGAGGATTCGTTCCAACAATTTCATCATTGTTTTACACCAAAGTATTTTCAGCAACATTGGGCTACAATCCTGGTCTTGTGTACATAATTACTGGTTTATTATTCACCATTCCTTTAGCTAATGCTATTTTGCTCAACATAAAAAAGCAGAAATGGGATTTAGTTTTGATTGCTGAAAAGAAAAACGAAAATCAAGAAAACAAAATTGAACTTACAACCCGAGAAAAATCATCATGTTAATCCATTCTTAGCTCCGAATTTCACCTTTCAACAAACATATTTAAAGGAAACATTTGGAAACATTTATCATTGTTGACAATATTTTATTAAATCACATCACTAGGTACAAATGTAAGATCAAATACAATCAGAAGCAGCTTGCGGTTTGAATGATAAAAACGCGCGCTGTTTAAACCGGATTATTATTGAAATTGTTAATCAATAAAAAGAATTGAATTTAAAAATAATTTAAATAGTATTTTAAGTAATTAAGCTATTTGTTTAATACAAAAACATTTTTCAGCAAGAAAATACATCATCAATGAGCAAAAAAGGTTGTCTTGGACGGGAATAAAAAACACTCGAATTCGAGTTTGAACAATAAGAGGATTACTTTGAAACTTTTGTTGATAAATTAAATAGTGCAAATTATATAAATTGGTTAATAGTGCAACAAAATTTAAGCGTGATTACAATTTGCTTTCAAGATGGCAATAATTGGAGAAAAACGAATGAAAATGAAACAATTTTCAAAGCCACACAATGTTTCACATTAAAGGCACTTTTAACCTTCATTTTCCTTCAATTAACCTGAAAGTAAATTATAATGGTAAACATGATGGCGATATTAATTAATCTTTTGTTAAATTTATTATATTCAATGTGCAATTACAACTATTAAAGTAAATATTGAAGTGAGTTAATCATAAGTGCAAAATCTGGTATCATTGGTTTGGTTTCTCTGGTTTTTTCTTCTGGTAAACAGATGATATGTAACCTAATCTTTTTCAAATGCTATGCTCAAAGCATCAACATCTTTGCATTGAAATTCATGTTTTTTTGTTCATCACCATCGCCATCACTTCCACCACCACCACTAACAAAACCATCATCTTCATCAAGATCATCAGGATCATCCTCATCCTCATCGTCCTCTGTGTGTTCTTTTAAATTCTGGTAAATGAAAGGAAAGATTGTCAAAGAAGATGACTTCTCCTTTTTCCCCATACTCATAAAATCGATAAAATGGCCTCATCTATTCAACTTTAACAAGCTTTAAGCTAAGCTTTTTGGTTCAACAAGAAATCTGAGGAAGACTCATCATCATCTTTACAGCTTTAACAATTTATTGCAGCCCCATCATTACCATTATCATCCTCATCATCATTTTCATTCTCGTTCCCATAACATATAGATTTCACTGGCATTTGAAAAGAGACTTTTTTGCTGTTCTTCTGGTGCGTTGTTGTATAAACTCCACTGCAGAAAAAAAATCAATCTCCCAATGAGTTTAAAATAACAGAAATGTTAATAATAGAGGTGAATGATAATGAACTATCCATGAGACTTAAGCAGTTTTTTCTTGCAGAGCCAAATTTTATCCGATGATTTTACCAAAATTTATGATCAATAACATTTGGCCTCAATTTGTGTATAATTAAAATTAATTTTACCAAATAATGCTGCATTCTGAGAAGCCTTAAAGCTCTTTTTAGAGACATTTGAAGACATTTTTTATTTACCAGAAAATGTTTATCCCTTTTCTGGTTGCAACCCAGAGAGAAAGCGAAAATAATTGCTTTTATTGCCTTTGTCCAAATGTATATAATTAACCCAAACTGACTGAAATTAGCATTTCAAAATTAACGCCGCAGTCACAGTTTAACTTGAAATTGCAATGGCTGTTGCCAGTGTTAGTATTGTTCATCATCTAGATCAATTGGTTGCAAGCAAAAAATGCTAATAAAAAAAGCAGTTTAAGAGCAAGATTTTTTAATCTGGCTTAGGAATAACTTAAAGTAAAAAATATAAAAACCTTAGCCTAATTCCTTAGCTGGTTTAATCTTATTACTCAAATCATAATCATCATTATAATGATTATTATTGTTAACATTTCTTTCTGATAACCATAAGATTTGTTAACAAAAAATGCGAAACAAGAAACCTCTTCGCCATTGGATTCGTTGCCTCAAAATATTGAACTCCAAAAACTCCATTGAAAAAGAAGAAAAAGAAAGAGAAGAAAGGAAAGGAATCCATGTTGTTTTTTTACAAGCTTTACAGCTAAGGGCAGTTTGTTTTGTATCTTGTAGCCAGTTGAGAAAGCCGATGGTCAATGTGAAATAATCATCATCATAATCATAATAAGTAATCACAGTAATATGTATTTAGTAGCAAAGGGCAGTGCTTGGCATTCAGTGGGCAAGGGAAAGACAAGAAAATGAAAATGGGTAAAGAAGCAAAGAAAAAAGAAGTTTTATGGAGAAAGAAATGAAAAAAACGTAACAGGGTTTAGTTTCTACCCTTATCCGGTCCAGTGATTTCTCAATGATCTAATGGGAAATGCAGTTAACAACAGCTCAACAATCAACTCACAATCAATTCATAATCAAAGGTCTGTGACTTGTGAAGGAACATCAAGAAGAGACTGAAGAAGAGTGGAGAGAGAGAGAGAAAAAAAATAAATTATTAGACCGAAGACGTTGTTGTTTATAATCTAAATCTACGTCTCAAAATTAAAAGTCAACTGAAAATGAGTAGCAGCAGCATAAAAAAATTAAAGTCAACTGAGTTAATTGTGATTTAGAAAGATTGATGCAAGGTGACAAGTATCATCCACAAGTTAAATTGTTATTGCCATTATTCACATTTTGATTTCTGCAAATGATTAAACAAAAAGTGTTGCTCAATTTGCTGCTTGGAGAAAAGAAAGAGCGAGAACAGAATGCGAAATATAAGTGTAAATATTGACTTATTTCACTCTCCTTTTTTTTCTGCTTTCGACTCTTTTTTCACTTTGACCTGACCTGACCTAAACCAGAAAAAAAGAGAGTTAGGAAAAGAGAAACAGGAGAAGCAGAAGATAAGATGGATGGATGGATGAGAAAAGGAGTTAAACCTCTCCTTCATCTGGCTTAATCAATGGACCAACGAACTGTACATCAGTCCTGGTCCATATCCAACAGGCTCTCATAGACATTCAAATACGACCCAGCCATCTTAGTTTGCCCGTTTAACTATCATCATCATTGTCATCATCGCTGTCCTCATTGTAGTTAAATATCTATGGTGGATTGGAGGTGTAGAATACATTTCGTTGTATCTTTCTTTACGCATTCATGGGCTTAGCCTTATTCCTTGGTTTCTTTACATCCATTTGGTTTGTCCTTTCTTTTTTATTTTTCAACCAGTTTTGCTTCGCTCCTTTGCTACGGTTAATATGGCCTTGATCGCTGCCTAAAAAAACTGGTAAATTATTATGATACATATAAGAATAAGAATAATAAGAATAAATAATGATAATAATTAGAGAAGCAAAAAGTTTATGAATAGTGGAGCTGCTTTTTTGTGTTCAACCAAATTCGGTTTTATGATTTGCTTTACGTTGTTGTTTGGGTTGTTTAGCAAGGTAAAGGCATTGGATTTGTAAACCTGACTTTCTTCGCTTATTATTATATTTTTTTTCTGGTTATTGTTGCTATCATTATATCAAATAGTTAAGGAATAAAAGAAGGTAAAAGTGGAAAGAAGAGACTTTTAAAAGCTCTCGGTATTATTATAAAAAGGTATTGGAATTTTTGGGTCTCTTTTGATTTTTTTTATTTCTTTCACTCTCAGCTTCTTTCTCTCTTTGCTCTTTGATAAAAAGAACCAGAATTTGGTTTAACCATTGTTGCATGTTTTTGTGACTTTACTTTGATTTGGTATTGCATTAACATGAATAAAGGACTAACTAACTGTTTATTCAAGCAAAAAGGTTGACCTGAAATATTTAACTGTTGGACTTAATTGTATTACAACTAAACCATATTGTCATTACCTTGATTTACCTGGATTTTTACATCACTTTCAGTGTCAACATTTTTTTCCTTTCTTGTAAGATGATTATGATGATGATGATGACGAAGATGTTATAAATTATACATTTTTCCAGTTTCTTTTAATACTTCGCTCTCTCACCAAGATTAAGAGTCAACAAAAATTTGGAAAGATAAAGGTCCATGGAACGAAATATCTTCAAGTTTCCAGTTGTTTATCCTGCGAAGAAAACATTAAGATGGAAATAAAACTGCATTAGTATTAATGGAAATATAAATTACAATTTAAAGCTCTTTTTTGTTGTGTTTGCTTGTTTGTTTGATGATTGTTTATTATGATTAGTGAAGTGAATTTGGTCAAAGTGTTTAAATTGTGAATACCAGTGACACTGAAAAAAGTAGATTAAAAATTATAGCAATTGAACAAGTGGAGAAAAAAGTAGTGTTGATAATGATTGTGAGAATAGTTAACGAAGGGAAGAATGATTGAAATGGTGGTAAAAAATGAATTACTATTGTAATTCGATAATTGTTCACCTTTAAAGTTGTTCGGTAGAAAGAGCTATATGTTTGTTCACCTATTAATTTGAATGGCAAACAATAATTTATTAAGATTCAATTTATTGTTGTGGGCCGAGTAAAAGTAAACGATGAATGAATGAATTAATTAATTAATGAATGAGTGAATTTAGAACGATGTTGATCAAAAAAGGACAAGATAAGATCACATTGATGACAGTTGTTGACGGTACAAAAATGTAAATCAACATTCTTTCAGTTAATAAAGAAAGAATCAGATTGAGAAACTCAGAAATACATAAAGAAAATGTGCGGAGAGAGAGAAGAGAAGATTGTAAGATGAAGCTAAATGAGACAAGAACCAAAGATTAATTCAAAAGAGAGAGGAAAGTATGATGAGGCGGAGGAGGAGAGGATGATGATGGTGATGATGATGGTGAAGAAGATTGAGAAGATGAAGAAGGGAGTGAAAAAGTAACAAAAAAACAAGAAGGTTATGCATGAAGGGCCAGAAGAAGTTGTTTGAAGCTACCAAAAAAAGAGAGAAGATAATAACGAAATGAAATACAAAATTGAAAGGCCTAACTGAAGGCCTTCTCCTTTTCTTCTTTTCACCATCTTCTAAATACACTTTTTTGATACTAGAAAATCTACTTCAGGTTGACCCAAAACATGTTGTGAAAAGAAGAATGGAAAGAAAAAAAAGAAAGAAAGAGATAGAGAGAAGGGGGAGGAAAAAAGATATGATAAAGAAAGGGAATAAGAAATAAGGTAAAAGGTTACCATTTATGTAGAGGACAAATCTCTATTTACCTTTGAAACATTTTGACCAGTTAGCGCCTTCGATGGAGCAAAAACGTTTCATCAACGGTTATATGAAAGTCCAAATTAAAAAAAAAACCTGATCAATTGACCATCAAGTTGAACCATAGAAAAGTGGAAGATAAAGATGAGGATGATGAAGATGAAGAGGCTGACACCTTTTATGTGTCTAAGGCAGGTGATTATGTTTGGTCCCTTTTTACCTTTACCATTCTTTTTAAGGTCAAAAAAGAAAGGTAAAATAGACAGGCAACAAAAAGGTAGAAAGAAAAACAAAAAAACAACAATAATACATGAAAGAGCCAAAAGAGAAAGCAATCTAATGATCTGAAGGAGTAAAGGAGAGACAAGGATGAGAGAGAAGGTGGGAAAGAAAAGGAAGGAAAAAGAAAGGAAAATAAAAGCAATTCTTTGGTTCCTTCTTTATAAATGAGACTCCCTCTCATCACCGCACTCTCTTTCTCTCAAAAGGCCATTTCGCTCTCCGTCTCTGCCTTTTCACCATGACCTGTAACCTGTAGCTGGCTTCGGTCTCAATCTTTATTATGTTTTAACCCTCAGGCATAAACTTGCCAATTATTCGTAATCTTGCTTTTCCTTTACTAGATGGCGATATGGCGGTAAGCTGGTTGAGTAAGAACAACTTTTATTTTTTATTCAGTGATGAGAAAGAAAGAGAAAAGAAAGACTTAAGAGAAGATAAAAAAAATGTTTTACTTTGTCTCTTACTTGTGGCGGCCTCTAACCCTGAATTGGTGAAACTGGAATTTACTGCTGTATGCTTGTATGTACAGTGTAGTGAATACTTCTCTTCTTCTGGCTTACACTTGGTCCTGTAAATTAATATTAAAAACAGTAAATTATTCAAAGTAATTAAGTGATTTACCTTTTCAATTGTGTTTTTAACTGTGTCTACAATATTCTGATTCTTCCAGTTTAATTTATAAAAATTAATTTCTTTCAATTTAATGTGTCCCGAGACATTATTGGATATATGTGCTAAAGTTGTTGCCTACTATATACCATTTCAAAGGATAGAAGAAAGATGCCAGAGGATACCTGAGCCTGTTCAGGCACGGATTATTTATTGGTCATTTCCTCGAAATGAGAGGGATATATGCATGTACTCATCTCTTTCTAGTGATTTACTGAATTGTCCTTCAAATAATGATTCAACATTATCTGAGATACCCTTTTACCAAGGGGTACGTCTTTTTGAATCAGAATCAGTGGAAAATGTTTTACAAGTTGGCTTTCATCTTAGTGGTGTGGTTACAGTCAAATCTCCTCTCTCAAGTTCAAATTCAAGTTCTTCACAATCAAATTATTCACAAGGCGGTGGCTCTGAGAAACGTTATCGTGTATCAATTACTTTTGATAGATGTAAGATAACATCAGTGACCTGTACATGCGACTCAAAAGATATTTTCTGGTGTCAACATGTTGTCGCATTAACTCTATACCGTATTAGGAATCCAAATCTTGTCAAACTCAGAGTCCCCATTTCCGAAACCTTGCTCCAATTAGACCGTCAACAGTTACAAAAATTAATACAATATTTAATTTCCGAGCATCACACTGAAGTATTACCTACTGCCCAGAGATTAACTGATGAAATACTCCAATCCCATTCTAATATAAATCGTATTGCTGGAGCCCCTGACCCTACAGCTGGATCGTGTGCTGAAGATGAACACTCTTGGCATCTTGATGAGGAGCAAGTTAGTGAACAGGTTAAATCTTATCTGGCTCAGCCACCACACGCGCAATTAGTTCGCAGTAATAAACAGCTCAATGCACTTTTTGCCAAAGTCAAGGAAATGCTCAGAGCAAAAGACTCAAATGCTGCACGAATGTTACGGCTAATAACTGAACAATTCCTAGCTGACCCAAGGTTACCAGCTTGGAGGTTACAGGGTGTACCTGTATCAGAAAAATGTCGTCCCCTTTGGGATCAACTTGGGTCATTGTGGGTCTGTGTTGTATTAAATCCTCATGCAACCAATAGAGAAAGGCAACATTGGAGAAATTTACTCGAAAGATGGTCCAAATCTTCAGTATGTCCATTAGAAGATGCAGTTTTAAGCCGTCAAGTGAGAAGAGGAATTAAACGACGAATCTCTGTATTGGAAGAGTCATCAACGGATGATGATGATGACGAGAACTTAAACAATAATAACAATGAAAGATCTAGACGTAATCATGCCAACCTTAGTAATAGTAATCATAATTCACATTCTCGTCAATATGGTAATGCTTCATCATCGCAACTACCTCGAACAATATTTCATCGTGCTCTTGAAGCAAGCCTCCTACTCTGGGATGATACTCACCTTCGTTTTATCCTTGATAATAAGAGCAATATGCCTTTCGTTCCACCACCATCATGCAGTAATTCGGTATTATTCACATCCAAAGGATATCCACTTTGGAATGGTACATACAATTCATCTTTATTATTCTCCTGAGAGATAACTCACCACTTTTTATCTCTCATTCTCCTCCTCTTTCAATTCTTTCTTTGTCGACAAGTTTTTTTCATACTTTCATTCATGATTCAACTTGAATTAAATTCTTTTTTCTGTTTTTTTCCTTTCTCTCTCCCTCTCCTCTCTTTTTCTCTTTCTATCTCTTTTATTCCAATAGAACCAATTCCAACTGCGTGTGCTCGGGTTGAAGCTCTTAGATGTCATGGTTATAGACAGTCGGCTTTAAGGCTTGCTGTCGCTGTTGTGCGAACCATGAGAAGACAACAATTTGAGTGGCAATGTAAATGGCAACGAGAACAAGATTTCGTAACAAGTAATTTACTTTTCTTAAACCTATTCGGCCTCTCACTTCAGTTTTTGGTTTCTCTCTTTCTTGTTGACCTTGTTAACTATCTGAAAAAAGTAGCGAAAATAATCCTTTCAAACATTTTAGCCGAAATGATCCTTGAAATCACTTTTTATCATTCTTTATCATATTTTCTCATTTAAATCACCTTTGGCTGGATCGAAACAATTTTTTCTTGTAAACGCATTAACAGTAGCTTATTACCGTCATTTAAATCTTAGCCTAACCAATTTTTTTTTATTTATTCTTTATCATCATTATGGTTTAGACTTGTTCGTTATTTTCTTTTGAAGTGTCATTGCTATAAAACATACAGATAAGTTTGTTTTAACACAGAAATTAATCTGATTTTACATACTCGATTATGTTGGTATAATGATTTAATGCTGTGAAAAAGGACCATTTCGGCTTTAGTTTACTCACCACTTATGCTTAAAAAATTTGGGTGTACTGTGTTGGAATCTTATTAGCCCTGAACTAGTAATTTAAATATTTGATTTCTCTTATCAAGATTGAACTCAAATAATTTAATATCCATTTAAAGCAAACAAAATATCTAATATATAAGCTTTTGCTGTGCTTGTGGGTGATGATAGTTGATTCACCTGATCATTTATCAAGTACTGTTATGTGTTTCAGGTTTCCTTTCAACCTAACATGGTCTGCTTGAGAGAAGGAAAGCATTTCTCTTTCGTTGAGGTCATATTGTTCAAAACCTACTGACATTCAACTGACGAAATTTTCCGTCATTTTTTTCCTATCTTCTTGATCATCTTATTCATTATCTTAACCTTTATTCATTCTTTTTTACATAACAAGCTGCTTGCTCCAATTCCGATGTATGCCCAAATCCAATTCACTGCAATACCGAGGGATGGCTTGGAAATCCATTAGATCCGATTGGCTCCTTATTCGATACGTTGGCTGAAGCCTCATTAACCTTCGATCAAAAGCCTCTCGATCATTATTATCCTCCTTTCCTAGGCGAATCCTCTTCCCAATCATCAAGTGTAAATAGTAGCCATGTGCAAGAAGAACCTGCTGTACTAAACGTTTTAAATCCAATCTTCAATAACGATAAACCAAGGTATCAACATGTAGTGGTGCCTGGAAGTCAACATAATGAGACTTATCTAAGCCTTGCGTTGGAGGCAGCTCTAATTGCATTGGGACAGCAGAGATTGATGCCACCTGGAAGTCATGCTCAAGAAAAAGCTTTTAGACAAGAGAACCAACTTCTTATGAAATTGCAAGATTTTGATTTAGATACTAATTTGGTAGCAGTTTTACGGAAACAAGCTTTCCTTTTATTAGAAGGTGGACCCTTTAGTGGGCTTGGTCGTGGAATCCACCCAGAAAGCGTACCTATGCATAATTTTGCTCGTTACCTGTTCACTGCTCTTTTACAATATGATACTGAGCTTGCGTACAATGTTGGCTTAAGAGCTATGAGGTATGTCATCAATTTGGCTATTAAGTTGTCAAATGATTATCTCATCTCATTATATTCTTCTCTATTTTCTCTCTTTTTCATTTTCATTTCATTCATTGCAGGCTTCCTATACTTGAAAATAATGATGATTCAAGTGAGGCAGGCGGAGTCAGTCATAGTAATGTTAACGTGCGTAGTCCAAGATGGCATATGCTCAATCAGATCGAGTTTCAACAGCGAACACTGGCTGCGACAATGCTATGTGCTGCCAAAAATGACTTAGGTCGTCTTGAGATGGTTCTCAAATCGGCACAAAAAAATATTCATAGTTATGTGCATTTGTTCAAATTGGCAGAGAGTGCCTTGAATACAGCTATTCCTAGTGATGGAAGACCTCGTCATATATTCCTTCTGAAAGCAGCGTACGAGTTAGGATTACAAGTACTGAGAATGACTTTACATTCCCTAGCATCACAATCTAATACGGTCAATTCTTATAAGCGGCGTGACGTTGTCAAGTGGATGGTTCTTTGTGCTACTGAAGTTGGATTAGATGCTTTACTTACAATTATGCACAAATGGTCTGAGCTTTTTACCCCCATGGAAGCCACAATGCACGTTGCAACTCCTATTATGAACCCGGCAACTGTAATGAAACTGGGACTTGATTATAGACAGCAAGAAGATCTATCAGCAACTGCAAGACTATTGGCTTTGCAATGTGCTCACAAAGATCCACCAAATTGTGCTTTAGCTTCTCTACATCTATGCGAAAATAGACCTTGTGATTTTGAAACTGCATATCAAACTGTATTACGGGCTGGATCAACAGGAGTTATGAACTCAAGTCAACTTTTTGTTGTGGCAAAACACATGGAAACTCGAGGTTCTCCTCCTCGTGCCTACAAGTTAGCATTATTAGCAATCAAAAGTGTGCAGATCTCATACAATATAGATAACCATCCATCCATCGGCGATATTCAATGGGCATTTAACTTAGCAATGAGCTTAGGTAAAAATGAGCTTGCTGGTTTAATTCCAATATTAGTGAAAAATGTTCAATGTGCATCCGTCTTATCTGATATTCTTCGCCGTTGTTCTCTTGGTCCACCTGGTTTCACTGCTTATATGGACGGTAAACGTCGATGTTTAAAACCTTTACCGATGGATAGAACACCTTTACGTCAACTTTTAGAAGCAGCTATATCGGCCTACGTGAATTCAACGCATTCAAGGCTCACCCACATTAGTCCTCGTCATTATGGTGATTTCATCGATTTTTTGAGTAAAGCTCGAGAAACTTTCATGTTAGCACCTGATGGTATGATGCAATTCCATTCCTTGATCGATAACATTAAAATGGCTTACAAAGGAAAAAAGAAACTCATGTTCCTGGTGAAAGAACGTTTTGGTTGATCCACAGCCATCTTTAGTTCTTAAACATTTTTTTGTCTCAACCAACACAACAACTGCACAAATTAATTTAAAGAAAACTAAACAAAAACTAATTCATTTTTGCGGCTGCCCTCTTCTTCTTCTAAATAGTTCTTATTTATTGTTTATAATATTCTTGTCTCTGATACAAAAAGAAAAGGACAAAAAGCAATCAATGAAATATGGCAGAAGAGAGGAAGATGGAGGATAATGACAAAATAACATTCTTCATACCACCGCTCTTCTCTGCATTTTCAACAGTTTCACATCTTCGATCATCTTTTTCTCTTTGCTGTGAGCATTTACCGAAAGGATTTGTTACATCTTCTTTTGGCTCAATATTTGCGAACAGTGTATGCAAAATGCTTCCAAAATGTACACAGTTAATATCCTCAAGTTTCTTTTTTGGTTCGATCTAATCAAGCGTGCGTGTTTATTTTTTGTCTGATGCCATGCCTGGCATGGAAAATGTGAGAGAAAAGCCCTCAATCGGCAACTTTTTTGCTCCTAATTTCTTTACCTCTGATTTCTCTTTCGATTTCTTCTTCCCTTTCCCTCTCTTCTTCTTCCTGTCTCTTCGTCACAAGAGCACCATCCTTTACCTAAACTAACGCCCAACAAACCTACATAAACTACAACTGAAACGAAATGATCTCTCCTAAACTCAATCTTTCATTGGTATTTTTATTTCTTCTCTCTATCTAATTAATTTTCTCCATCTTTTCCTCTTCTCCTCTCTTCCTCATTTCAATCTTACATTTATTTATGGTTTCATCATCTATCTTCATTTTTTGTCTTACCATCTATTTCGCCTCTTCCTTCTACTTCTCTCTTCTCTCTCTCTTCACCAAAGAGTAAATTATGACTTTTTTCTCGAATCGCATTTTTTTGTTTGTTTGTAAATTTCACAAGAAATACAAATAACATCTCACCTATTTTCATCTTTTCATCGCCATCATGTTCATCATCTCTAATCGTATCATCACAAATCTCATCCAATGATTAAAAAGTCCATCTCATCATCCAACAATCCTCATAGAACGAGATAAGGCTTCGCAATTCAAAACCCCTTTGTAATCCAACTGTGTAATTATGTGGACTATAGAGATATATTGAATGGTAAAGATTTTTGTGAAGATAAAAAAGCATCTTTGAAGCACGCGCAGCGTGTCAAATACTTTTTTGAAAAGGATCAAGAAAGGGAGCTGGTCTTCTATATTTATTATTATTTAAAGCCTTTTTCATCAGAGGATTTAAAAATGCAAAAAAAATCAAGATCAATTGAGAAAGGAAAAAAGAGAAACTCTTTGGATTCACTTATTAATCTCAACCATGGTGGAAGACAACTCAGACCAATAATCTACTTAATAATCAAAGGAGCTGAGTTTCAACATCAAAAAGCAATTAAAGCATCAAAAGAACAACAGTTCAACTTCTCAAGCATTCAAAGAATGTAAAGAAGGAGAAATAACATTTTCTACTTCATAAAAACGTCACACCGGTAACAATAAGCAAGTCCACTTTTCTTCGGTTCATAACAATAGACGGTCCGGAGTCGCAGTGGAGAAACATCCTGGAGTAACAATCCCAATTCAGCATTAAACAACGTTGAAATTGCAAAATTAAAAAAAAATAGCAAAAACAAAACAAAATCGTGGAGTGCATCGAGTAACAGCAGTTAAAGTGTTTATGGTGATGAAGCTAGTACTAATTAAATATACTTTCTTTCTCTATCAATAATCATCAATTTTCACTATTAACATTAAACGACTCTAACTTATCCAACCTCTAAATCACAATAGCAACTATACAATTATCAAAAGTCTATTTAAATACCAATCACGCTGCTTCAAGCATTAACAAAAACCTTTCATTACCAACCATAGAAAGAAAATCAGCCTGAAATCATCATGAAACATGAATACAGCATACAAACACCATCGTTGTCTCTCCCAAAAAAACTCTCTTTCTCTCTCTCTCTCTCCCTCTCTCACACAAACCATATACATACATATACATATTCATATACATACATAAACACACAAACACTCATCTAATTTCGTTGTTTTGTATAAAGCTACCTCAGTTTTTTCTACAGTTTATTAAATCTATCAATGCAACGCGACCTATTATTTCCAATGAAACAAAAAACCAAATAAAGCCCAAAATGGGAATTATTTCAATTAATAATTTAAAAAGAGCAGTTTACCGTTTCTCATTTATTTCATTATACCATTTTTCCTCTTCACTTAAACTGATTGTGTTTGAATACTAGAAATTATTCAAGTATCGATTGAATATAATGGCGAATTAAATCAACATTATGTTGATGGATGTATACCTTAGTGTTGCTACAATTTACCCGACTGTCTGATCAGAGTAAGAGAGTGATATTTTTTAATTCTCAAACTGATTCATTTAATTCATGAGTTATTGTTTTAGCTGTCTTCATTACATTCAACTAAAGAGGGTTTGACATTGTAGTCATTTGTTTTTGTTTTGGTAATATAAAAACAGCATAAAATGTGCTTTGAAAGTAAAGGTCATGTAAAGGAACAAAAGAAACATGAATTTACATAGTATATTCATGAATAAGTTATAAAAAAAGGAGTGAAATAAGTAGATGGTTCAACAACAGAAAACGTCGTCCAAGTGAGATGAGTGAGGATGATAATGTCCAAACTTGCTGTATTTTGATTCTTTAGATTTCTTGAATAGTGTTTAACATTCCAAAATTGAAGAGTTGATTGACATGCGAAAACAACTGCAAATTATTTTGAATTTTGAGCAAAAAATATTTCAATCAATACTGATTATGAGCCCAACGGAAAGTTTAATAAACCTTTCATTTCTTTAAACGATTTAAATAAACTTGATTCAATTTACGAGTCATAAATTATGACCAATGATAATGGTAATGATGAAGATGATTATGATGGTGAAGCGAAGACATGGTAAAATTTTGATGGCGAGATAAGAAAGCTTTTGTTAAAATAGTTGGTTTCCAATTTTGCTTTTGTTAAATCCATAGTTGAAGTCAAGTAATCTTATTTGGGACAGCAATAGTCTTTGGCATTGGATGAACTGGATCCATTTATATAAGCTGATTCCTGGTTATGTAATTTAAACGCATCCAGATTACTTTTGTAGCTCATGCTTGCCAATTTCTCAGCAATATCGTTGAACATCTCCTTTATTCCTGAGTTAGTTTTACACGATACCTTATATACACCATTAAATTTTGGAAATTGTTCCATGAACAGTTCAATGTCTGAATCTGCAACCTCATAGGGACTAAGGTCACTCTTGTTACAAACTAAAAATATTTTCGCATTCTCGGCAAGCGAAAGTATCTCCAGTAAATGTTGGCTTATGCAGTGAAATGATTCCAGTGAATTTAGACTGAAAACAAGGAGAGCAGCATCTGGAGAAGAGGTGAGGATCGGATGAAAATAGTAAACATTGTTAATATCCAAACAGTAGAGTAATTCAATATTGAATAATGTAAAAATGATAATATGAACATAAAAGGCTAAGAGCGTAAAGAGATCTATTGAATGAAACTTCAGTCAACCAACCATTGAGTTGGTTTGACAGAAAATTCAGAATAGATTGAATTCCTCCCTTTGTGCATTCATTTTCAAACAATACTGGGAAAAGGGTAAACCAGAGGGTAACCGAAACTTGAACAATTAATTCAAGGCAACGTTTGAATGAACATTTTTTTTTTATATTTCAATTTCAAGACGAAGGGAAAAGACACATTTTGAAGTAATTCAAAGTGCGTGTGTCTCAAAATAGTTTACAAAATGGAGAAAAGGAAAAAATAGTCTTGAGGATAAATAATGATGATGTGGAAGAAAGAAATTTGCAAGAAAGCAAGAAATTGTCATTTGGAATAAGGTGTTGATAGGAGAGCAAAAACGGGGAAGACTGATTGAGAGGACAATTAAGAAATGTTGAAGGATCAACATAAGATATCGAATCAAGCTTGATTGCAGGGGAAACAGTGGGCCTTTTATTTTGTTTTAATTTTTCCAATCACCGTGTGAAAGGAAAATATCATGAACAGGAATAAAAGGAAAATCTTACTAAAAAAGGGCAAAAAGGAAGGAGAGGAAAATGAAAGTTTTACTAACCAGCGAACTTGTAGTAAGAGTTGGTTATGCTAGCAACTCTTTCTAACCCACCAGTATCCCAGAGTTGCATTTTGATAGACTTTAAACCATCCACTTCATATTTGCGACTAGCATGATCAAGACCCATGGTTGATTGACGAGCTTGAGAATGAGTATAATTTGAAGTATCAATAAAAGTATCTTGGGTGAATCGACGGAACAACGAAGTTTTACCAACACCATATTCACCGCAAAGAATAACCTTAAATTCAGGAACTGCTACAGATGCCATTTAAAAGGTTTAGGATAAGTAACACACTTTAAAAATATCAACTAAAAATTTAAATTTCTGAGATGATATAAAATAAGAAAGCAAAAACAATGAGCTGAAACTGAAAGGGTCTTCAATATGAAAGATAATTCTGTAGCTCAATGGAAAGCAAAAAAGTAATCCTTTTTTAAACCAATAGAGTAGAAGATCAATTCAGATGACATAAAAAGATCATGATTGGTCCTTCATTAGAGTATGACGAAGGTCCAATATCAAAAATAAAAATATCTATTAAACAAAACAATTACAACTATTATCCTGGAACAGGCAGAAGAAAGGAAGATTAAGCAATTTGTTTATGTTGCTTTAGAATCATCAGCTGATTCAAAGTCTAGTATCACATCTGAATACCATAAGAGGGCGCTAATAGAAGTTCTGTAAATTCTGAAAACTTGAAACTTGAATTCTGAATCTGGTTCAAAGGAGAAAGTTCAATTTCTTAAAGGATCATTCGTCATTATAATTGCTGCTAAGGTTATTTAGGATAAGTTATTTCATAACTAAAAAGTTTGAAACTATTTTAGGTCAAAAAATAAAGTAAAATAAAAATGCCATTATCATGAGTATTATCATTTTACTGTAAATCATGTGGTTTTAATTGTGTAGCCGATGGATAATTTTACATTATCAAAGAGGAAATTGATCTGAAATAGAAAGGCAACAATTCAGTTAATCAATCTTGCTATAAATAAATCATCACAAGGCAATTCAAGGCTCTCGAATTGAAGGTTACCTACAATTATTAGGATCAAAATGAAAATAAACTCATTTGAATTATGCACAGAATTAGCTCCTGTTAACTCAATCATAAGTGTTTATTATCAATTAACCGAATTATTTACATAGATTTTGATCATTTTCTGACTTGATCAGATTATCAAAGCTCAATATCAACAATATTGCGATGCTAATTCAATGTAAATATTATTCCGTCAAAAAGTAAGGTAGGAAATCAATATGATCAATATATTCAATGCTCTACTGATTTTTATTAGTCTCACAAACTAATCACTAATTGCTCTCCAATCTGTTGAATTATTATAACTATTAATATACATTTACCCTTAAATTAACCATTGTTATTGACAATTGCTTTCACTTTAAAATTTCAAATTCAGTGCCAAAAAGAGTTTGGAGCGTACTCAATATCTTATCTGATATCTAGTACTTGATGTGTTAAAATAAGCAAAACAATTCAGTAAACTTGTGTTTGTTGTGGAAATAATGTTTAAAGAAAGTAATTTGTATCCTCAAGTTAATAGAATTAAATAACAAAAGTGATTTGAATCAAGTCCGATTCACCAAATTCATTTGGCTAATTGAGTCCATGAAATATCGATATTTACTTTGTTTTGAACTTTGCAACAGCAGCGACAGGCTAAAAGTGAACTCATAAGAGAGTAGCAGTTCATTCGAATAGTTTGTTAATTAAGTCTTCCGCTTGTTTCGTTTTGTTATTTATTTAGTTAACTATTTTAAGTGCTAGTTTTATTCTAGATTTTTTGTGCGCCTTTAATTTGAGATGATAATTTATGTTTCAAGTATTTTATTTTCAAATCTTATTTTTGTTTTCTTGGTAAACTCAGTTTTTAGATGTGATAAGAAGGCAACTTAAGTATCTAATCACTATTTCACCATTATTCAGCCATCATCACTCCATTGTTAAGCAAACCTTTAGTTTTCTGGTAAGTTGAAATTTTTTTATATTCACTCAATGTTGTCATTTGCTTGATGAATTTCTGTTCATCTAACCGTAGCGAAAATCGTTGAATGAGTTTCTCAAGCTTAAAGAAAATTTACAAGGTTTCTGTCTCAAATGTGTTCTAACCTGTTTTATTTATTTTTTTTATCGCAGGTCATCATTATATTGACTTTGATTGCAGCAATAAGATGTCACGAGCCACAATGCCTTGAAATCAATGCTGACTAAATTACCGAGAAGTATATCTGAATGAAACATCATTCTGGTTCTACTTTATGATGACATCGACAGATAATATTGTGGCATTGTATAATATACTGGCCAATCCCATTCTTTTGCACATTTCTGGAACGTAATGCAAATGTTACCCTGATGAATCTCCCCTCAAAGTTATTTGTTATTACCATCGATAAAAACAGTTCAGTAAGATGGGATTAAAGCTGGAGCTGTCTAAAAGACGCATGATATTTGCTTTATTTTCTTTCTTGTTGGTTTATATGATTTGTGAATTGCTGTTTATTGGAGAATTTTCGACACCTGACCAAGAAAATGTATACGATTATGAAAATGATTGGTACGAGTCCAACTCAACGGTGTGTGATCTTCCATTTCGTATGCATCCTTATGATACAACGATTAAGGATTTAATCCGGAGAAAGCCCAATAAGATAGTATGCATCAAATCAGACGATGGAGCCTATGATTCGCTATACAATCTTTACCAAGGACAATCTCTATCTTATATGAATGATGATGATCCAATTGTGCGAATATTTCGGATTAGAGATCATGAAAAATCACTGAAGTGCCTGTACCAACCTTTTGATCGTGATGGCAATGATGATGGGATTAAATTTTTGGAAAAGAGACCAATAATTGGTCATAAATTAGATCTGGAAAAAATTGGAGCTGAGTTTGTTAATATCGAATGCTATCTCTCAGGTGCATTAGTTTATAGTAACATCCATTCTTGGCCAAGTCGAGTTCCTTCCCATGCAGATGCCACATCTTCCAATAACAAAGATCATTCGATAATTAATAATTATCCAACACTATATGTAAATAAGCAATCTGTGATGTTTCTTGTCATAGAATCAATGTCTCTTCTCAATTTTGATCGATTCATGGTTAAAACGAAAGAAGCATTATCAAAGTTGTCTAATAATTTCATTCTTCGAGGATTGAATAAAATGGCTGATAATTCTTACCCGAACATGATGCCACTTTTATCAGGTAAATTTATTTTGTTTATGCTTCTAATTTTATAAATTCCATTCTTTTCATCCACATATGCAACGGAAATTGTAATTAAATTTTTTAATAGGTTAAGAGATTGTGCTTTTTCATTTTAGAATGGTTATTTAACTTTAGAGTCGTTAGAACTAATGAAGTTCGAAATTTCATGGCCCATTTATATGGGAAAACCGAAAATTCATGTTTTTACGTCATAAAATAAGCATCTCTTGATTTAATTTGAATTATTTTAATGAACAAGATTTCTTTGTGTGTTTCCTAGGAAACTAATATTTCTCATAATCCAGTCAACCTTTTAGATCAAGATATAATTTATTTTGCCATTTTCACCCATTTTATTAACTTGATAGATAGTGTTTACCGCATATGCGTAATCTGGTCAAATCGATTTTGAATTTTAATATCTAAATATAATAAAATGAGATAATTATGTCGAGTTTTTAAATTTTTAAATATCTGTCAAAATTTTGGTTTATGAACATGCAACAAAATCTTCACGAGAAAAAGGAGATAGATTTTTAAGATGTAATCGTAAACTGTCTACTATTCGTTCAAAACATTCAGTACATTCAAATAACTTGATATTCAGAACCAATCTTGAAAAAATAAACATGTAAACTTATTCAATTTATTTAATCAACCAGATTTTTCACGCCCTTGTTTTAACTTTTTTAACTATTTTCAGGATATCGACCCTATTATGGAGAATGGCCGTTTGAATTTGAAGTTGGTAAAGGTCCTTATGACGATGTTCAATTCATTTGGGATGATTTCAAAAGACAGAACTATACAACTGGCTACATTGAAGATGATCCCAAATTCGCGTTATTCAATTACTTAGCTGAAGGATTTAAAAAGCCTCCGACTGATTGGTATCCTAGACCCTATTGGTTAAGAATGGATTATGAACAAGGAATCGAGTCTCCAACATTTTGCTACAAACAGAAACCTAAAATAATTTATTGGTTAAAACAAATCAAACAATTTCTGAACAAAGTTAACAAAACGAAGCAACCTTTCTTTCTATGGTCTTTTTACATTCAAGTCACTCATGAGGACTTTAATAATGCTCAGCTCATTGATCAATATATTGCTGATTTCATCAATTCTTACCGCCATATACTTGAAAACACTGTCTTTGTAATCATGGGCGATCACAATAATCGTTATGGACCTTTATTCATGACAGGATATGGGCAAATCGAAACTCGAATGCCACTATTTAATATTCACGTTCCTCCACAACTATTACATAAGCATAAACATTTAGCTCATTATTTAAAGATGAATGAGAAAAGGTTAACTACTTGGTTAGATGTTAGGGAAATGTTGAAAGACATTGTTTCAGGTAATCATACTAATTCATTAAGATAATAATATTATCACAGGACATTTCTATGTTTGATATTGCTAACATTTCTTTCCTATTTCGTATTAGGTAATTATGAACCAATCGTTTCCTTTTCTAAACGTGATGTTTACTCTGTTTGGCGAGAAGAAGTTCCTTTAGATAGAACCTGTAAAGACGCCTTGATTCCCATGGAGTTTTGTTTATGTTTAAAAAGACTCAATTTCCCTGTTGATTCACAATTAGCTCAAATAGTATCAACAGCGTTAGTCACTCGACTCAATCAAGCTTTATCCCAGTTCAATAATCTCTGCTATCAGCTTTCTCTCAAAGATGTTCATAGTGTCAAAGTGAGTAACCTCTGAAAAACACTTTACTTTATTAAATTTTAATATTTATGTTTTGAATTTACAGATTGTTCGGTTACCTGGAGAATCCAATCCAAATAATCGTGTTGAAGTTACTTTATCTGTTAATCCTTCAAATGGACTTTTTCAAGCGCAGCTTTACTTAAAAAATACAAAAATTTTAAACAACTCAGGTATTGATGATTGGATGCTCGAAGGAGATGTTTCGAGACTCGATTCCTATGGTAATCAATCATTATGCATCAACGATAGAGTTCTTCGGAAATACTGTTACTGCCGCGAAGTGATACATTCCCGATGAACCATAATCCACCAACAATAATATCAACTACGCAAATTTTTGAAATTCACCTGATCAAAAAGAAAATACCAAAATTGAAAATCGATCTCATCTTTTTTTTCATTCCATATTTTTCTCAAACAATTGCTGTTCGAAAATGTTATCAACCTTCTGGCAGCTTCTCAGTCTTTCATGAGATTGGTTGAGATTCCATTTCATCGACAACATCTCATCTTAATCCAAAAATAGTTTAATGATCAAAGGATATTTAGTCCATTGAAGCCAAAGACATATTTAATATTTGCACAGAAAAAAATGTCCATAAAATTAGTAAAATTTCTGTCCATTTGTTGGTTTAAATTAAAATGAGCGATTATAAATTAAAGAACGAAAAATTTAAGTTATCAAAGGTTTCCCAATCAAATTGATACAGATTTTGGTCTTTTTAGGGCCAACGTTGTACTAATATTTAACATAAAAAGTCGATATTGCAACAAGACTCTTAAGAGTTGCTGTAACGAGAAGGGCGCGGAACGAGTTATGATTGCGCCAATTTAACTGGATTCCCAATGATGGACTTCGATACTAAAGCTCCTGAATGTTACCGTAACCGAAAAACTTGATACTTCTGTCAGATTGATTGAGGATGTTAGTCTGTTATCAGTTATCCATTATAAGAACTGATATCCGGAGATATTAATACATATGAGATGATTGGAAAAGTTTATAAAGATAAATATAAATAATTGGAACTCAATGCAAAGAATGAAATTCAAACCATTTAAAGTATTGAGTGAATTATTCATTCAAGATAATTAATACATAAAAAGAAGAAATTATGTTTCAATGATGTTCAAAATCCCCATGAAGTTTTTTCTTTGATTACTTTATACATAAAATCAGGATTACATAATATTTCGTTTTAAATATGATTCACTTTGATCAACATTTCTTTAACAATAACTTGAATAGTGTCAAAATCCAATGTGACTAAATAATAACTATCAAATTGTACGGCTGAAGAAATGGACGATCGAAATCCAGGAATTTCTTACTTAATGCATAAAAATGTGGGTTAAGCTTCCACGAAAAATCAGCAAAGTGGCGTTGTTTTTTATCAAAGGAGTATTTATAAAAACTTTGACTTCCGAGTTAAGATTAGACACTTTGATGGTTTGTAGGGCACAAAAACTGAGGCCATTAGTGATATTAAAAATTTATCTGATCAACAGTTTTCGAGAAAATCGGGGTTAAAGTCAAAACTTCGATCGCCTGATGCTCAATCGATTCTTTCCCGAATATGATGCCACTTTTATCAGGTAAATTGATTTTCTTTATGCTTCTAATTTTTCATATTCCATTATTTTCAACATCATTTTTCGTTCGTAATGTAAATGTGTTAGAAAAAATTTCTTCTTTATTTATTCCTTCTTTGTATTGAACATTCGTGTATTTTTTCAGTCTTTTTCTATTAATAACTCAATTCTTATGATATTTAGGGTATTATGTAGAATGGCCGTTTGAATTTAAAGTTGGTAAAGGTCCTTATGATGATGTTCAATTCATTTGGCCTGATTTCAAAAGACAGAACTATACAACTGGCTACATTGAAGATCATCCCGAATTCGCGTTATTCAATTACTTAGTTAAAGGATTCAAAAACCCTCCGACTGATTAGTATCCAAGACCTTATTGGATGAAGATGGATTATGATCGAGGTAACCAGGAGCGTTCACTTTGCTACAAACAAACCTAAAATAACTTATTGGTTGAAACAAATCAAAAAATTCCTTAACAAAGTTAACAAAACGAAGCAATCGTTCTTCCTTTGGTCTTTTTACATTCAAGTTACTCATGAGGACTTTAATAATGCTCAACTTATTGATCAATATATTGCTGATTTCATCAATTCTTACCGCCATATACTTGAAAACACTGTCTTTGTAATCATGGGCGATCACAATAATCGTTATGGACCTTTATTCATGACAGGATATGGGCAAATCGAAACTCGAATGCCACTATTTAATATTCACGTTCCTCCTCAATTAATAAAAAAGCATCAACATTTGGCTTATTATTTAAAGATGAACGAGAAAAAATTAACTACTTGATTAGATGTTAGAGAAATGTTGAAAGACATTGTTTCAGGTAATCATACTTATTCATGTAGATAATTGAATCATCTCTGAAGATTTGTTCACATGATAATTAATATCAGCCATAATAATAGCAACCAATGCGTTTTTACTTTGCTTTTTAGGTAACTATGAACCAATCGTTTATCCATCTAAACGTGCCGCTTACTCTGTTTGGCGAGAAGAAGTTCCTTTAGATAGAACCTGTAAAGACGCATTAATTCCCGTTGAGTACTGTTTATGTTTAAAAAGACACAATTTCCCTGTTGATTCACAATTAGCTCAAATAGTATCGACTGCGTTAGTCGCTCGACTCAATCAAGCTTTATCCGAGTTCAATGATCTCTGTCATGAGCTTTTTCTCAAAGATATTTATAATGCCGAAGTGAGTAACATTTGAACATTTACACGTTTGTTACAATTTCATATAATTTTTATATTTATTACGAATTCACAGGTTGCTCGATTACCTGGTGAACTCAATCCAAATAATCGTGTTGAAGTTACTATATCCGCTAATCCTCCCAATGGAACTTTTCAAGCGTTGCTTTACTTAAAAGATACAACAAATTTGAACAACTCAGGTATTGATAATTGGATGCTCGAAGGAGATGTTTCGAGACTCGATTTCTATGGTAATCAATCATTATGCATCAACGATAGAGTTGCAAGCATGCATAGAACCTGCAAAGACGCCTTGATTCCCGTTGAGTACTTTTTATGTTTAAAAAGACACAATTTGCCTGTTGATTCACAATTAGCTCAAACAGCATCAAATGTACTCATTACTAAACTCAATCAGGCTTTATCCGACTACAATAATCACTGCCATGAACTTTCTCTCAAAATAATACATAGATCAGAAGTGAGTAAGACTCATATACTAGTTCGGGGTCTCACTTAAACCCAAAAACCAACCGAAATGACCAATATGTACCAGAACAATGGACTATGACTATCGACGAAAATATTTTCCGTCGTCCTAAGAGTTCGGACTTTGTTGAGTTTGTACCGACATAAAAACTGAGTCCATTAGTGTTATCAAAAAATTTCTCAAACAGTTCGACAGTTGGAAAAAATCGAGATTAAAGTTGAAACCTCAATCACCTTTGCACACTTATTTTTGTCCATAGCGCTCTACATTGTTTTGATGCCCGCACATTGTTGATTTTGGTCTTCAGTGAGGCCCACTAGTTGGCACACTATTGTATTTATATGTTCACATTTTTGATTTAGATTGTTCGATTACCTGGAGAATCCAATCGCGTTGAAGTAACTATATCTGCTAATCCTTCGAATGGAGTTTTTCAAGCGCAGCTTTACTTAAAAAATACAACAAATTTGGACAACTCAAGTATTGATGATTGGATTCTCGAAGGAGATATTTCGAGGCTCAATGCCTATGGTAATCAATCATTATGTATTAACGATAGAGTTCTTCAGAAATATTGTTACTGCCGAGAAATTATACAGTCCTGATGTCCACAAACTCACCAATGTTTAGTGGTTAGCTTCAATTGATCAAAATGGCGTTCTTCATATAATAATCGATCCCCATCTGTACATAATTCAATGAAAAGAGTAAGTGAATTCATTGAAGCCAAAGACATTTCATACTGAAAGGAAGAGTTCATAGTTTTAAACTATTTCACCAAATTAAATAAATTCACTTTTGATTGCGTACAATTTAAACACAATTTACTTTAACTCAGAAGATTATTCAAGCCTTTCAAATCCTGAATACTCAGGTTCTTTTAAGATCACCTTAGAGTTCAACTGTAATAAGTCTTAGACTATTAGTTTTACTTCACAACAATAGTTGACCACGGTAAAGGGTCAAAACAGAGAAAGCAAAATAGAGAAGCTCAAAAGAGAGAGGGTCAAAACAGAGAAGGTCAAAACAGAGAAGGTCAATAAAGCGAAAAGAAGTTTAACCCGAAATTTTAAGCTCTTCATTTTTAATCGGTTTTCTATTGATATTTAAATGCATTTACTAAATAAAAACTCATTTATGGCCATTGACCATTCGTTTTTCGTCGCTTTTTCATTGTTATCTTTTCATTGCAATTCAATTATGTCTGATAATTTTCGCTTTGTGAATCCAAACAAAGGTGCTAAACTTTTAGTGCTCGACAATTATATTCATCGTCGGACTAAACTTCAAGATGAAAAGTCGTATTGGACGTGTGTTCGAGCGGATTGCAAAGGCAAAGTTAATTTATTTTGTGACACAATAACATCAAAATCTGAACATAGTGATGAACCTGATTCAGTAAAATTAATTGCAATTGAGCAAAAGAATGCAGCCAAACTTTTGGCTAAACAACAAAACTATTGTAACATTAAAACAACATACAATGAGGCCACGAATCATGTTTTATCGACGCTACCTCTGAATCGAGATGAAATTGCTTCTGGCCTTAAAAGTTTTGTGCAATTGAAAAAAACTATATCCAGAGAACGAGCTTCTCGTTATCCAAGTTTACCCAAAACATTGTCGGACGTGACAGTGCCTAACAATTATCAGTCAAGTTCGACTGAGAAGTTTTTCAGAGCTTCGGATGGCAGTGAGGACATGATTTTAATATTCGCAACCGATACTTTTCTTCGGCATCTTTGTGACGCGAATCACGTTTACGCTGACGGAACTTTCAAAATTGTTCCGCTTCTGTTCAACTCTTTGTATACACTTCATGTAATGAAAAACGAAAGTATGATTCCGGTTGTTTATGCGTTATTACCTGATAGCTCAATGAATACATATATTCGACTTTTTCGACTTGTTCAAGATCTCTGTTCGAACATTGGATTGATTTGGCAACCAACGAAGTTTACAACTGACTTTGAAATAGCAACTATCAAAGCTGTTAATATGATCTTCCCTTATTGTGAACTAAAGTGCTGCCTGTTTCACTTCAGCCTTTGGAGGAATGTCGGCAAGAACGGCCTGGTAACACGGTACAAGGACAACGATGATGGAGTCGCAAATACAGTCAAAAGAATTGCAGCGCTTCCGTTTCTTGATATTGGGGATATCGACTCAACATATTCATTAATCAAGTCACAAGCGCCTAACGATGCTGCTATGGGTCAATTTTTGGACTATTTCGAGAAAGTTTATTTGCAAAATAATGCTAGATTTGGTAAAGAAGTCTGGAATCATTTTAATGATGCTGAACCTAGGACCAACAACCACGTAGAAGGCTGGCATGCCGCTTTCAATAAATCGCTCGGTCGGAATCACGCAAATATTTACCAGTTT